AGAGGTAAAGGCTACTAGTTGGTCGCTTTGGCACATGTCAGGTCAGCCGGAATCTTTCGAATTGAGGGATGAGATCCATAGCGATTTCTACCCCTTACAATTTAAATATATTTTGAATAGTTATTTTATTGAGTGTGGTTGGAGTTGCTCTAAGGGTACAAATGCCTTATTAAAACTACATAAAAAAAACTCTAGAAAAATCTCCTAATTTTTTTCCCTTCACTAGAAAGACTGGCAACCCCATTATTGGAGTCAATCAGAAACTTCAAATCCTCTTTGCTTCGTCCAACATCGTCTAATTGTTCTCCCAACAATTGCAACATCAAAAGATAGCAACAAAAAAACAAGGCGGGCCAGTAAGCACAGCACCAACTATAACACCAAGCAGATGTTGGTAAATGGTAATTGTAAAGCACCCTTAGCGAGGTTCAAATATGGCCTCTAGGATGCCCTATTGCCTTTGAAGCCAAAGATTCCCAAGGCTTCCCAAACCCTTTACGCAAAGCCATCCTCATCCTAACACATCTCACAATTTCATTCAGCAAAACAACCTTATTGCAGTAGTGACCTTAATGCTCCGTTTGGTAGAGAGGGTAAAAAATAGAAAGGGTGAAAAATAAGAAGGATACACTTTTTATCCTTCAAGGATAGAAGTAGAAAGGATACACTTTCCTTCCTTTGTGTTTAGTTGGATGGATGAAAAATAAAAATGACTATTTTTTTTTTTTGTGCTGGCTAAGATTAAGAGTGACAATCGAGTCAAGTCATGTCGTGTCAGATTCGTATTGAGTCATTACGAGTTTGTGTGGAATATTAGTCAAACATAACTTAACTTATTTAACTAACTGTGTTATGTTGAATTGCGAGTCGACCATTTTATTTTCGTATCGAATTCGAGTCGTATCATCGTGTTGAGTCGAAAATTTTTAAATTTTCACCCTTAATTAAGATGAAAAAAATATTTTTTTTAATTTAAAATTTAAAATTTTTAATTTTTTTAAAATATATATACCTATTTTACCATTGTATTTTTATATGAAATTAATATATGCATAAGATATATAGACAAATAAGATACATCTCAACACAAATAATTAACTTTTCATCCATTTTCCTTTCAATTTTGGAGGGATTGACTTTGGTGAGTTGGAAAGAAAGTTAATCCATCCACTTTTTCATCCTTCATACTTTCCTTCCTTACCAAACATGATGTTTTATTTATCCCTCAAACTTTCCATCATTTCAACTTTTCATCCTCCTACTTTTTCATCGTACCAAACGGAACATAAGACATGTTTTCACCAGTTAATACAATGCCCTATTCCTAAAATTAAACTACTAATTCATACTTCACAATACATAATTCATAATTCGCAATTCATACTTCATAAAATCACACTTCATAATTCTCAAATCCCAATTCATTCTTCATAATTCATAAATTACAATTCATAATTCCTAATTCACACACACAAACACACAAAAAAGATGCACACACACATGTATACACACAAAGACACACACTCACACAGATGCACACACACAAATTCATACAGAAGACGAGAGAAAGAAAAACATACACGCACACACACAAACACACGCACAGAGACGAAAACACATACATACACATAAACACATACACCCATACACATTCACACACAAATCTAATCAAATATAACAATATTAGGGTTAACCTGTGCCTAAAAGTACGATGCAACGTAAGTGAGAAGTGATAGATTTGAAAGGGGAAAATTCAATAAGAATGGTTATGAGAAAGATATTGGTGGCTACTGGATGAATTTATTTGAAACTATCGGATGGACTCATTAAAGTCTACTTTGTTTTATATATATATCTATATAATAAAACAGGAGTGTGTTTGAATTTTATCTCAGTCATATTTTTCCCCTCAAAACCATCATCAATCACTTATCTCACCCATCATCCTTTTGTCAGATTCAAACGTCAAATCACATCACTCATTTCTATCACATATTTAATCATTAATATATTTCCTCCTTAAAAATATCACATCACTCATTTCTATCATATATTTAATCATTTACTATTTGATTAATTTGTAATTAATATATTTTGACAAAATTTAATATAATGGAATCAATTTTTTGGACGCTTAAATTTTATATTTTATCGTGCCTTCAGGCACGGGTTATGACTAGTATATATATATATGACGACATATGTTAATAAACCTATATTTTGTTAGCGACAATCCTTGTTATTGTATTATTATTTTGTTAATTTTAAACTACGTGTTTGAACTAATTATTATATAGATTGGATTATATATATAGATATAGATATCGGTATAGATAGATATATAGGACATCATATGTTAAAGATCCTATATTTTATTAGAGATAATCCTTATTATTAGAGTTTTAATATATATTAGATATATTTTGTATGCATATAGATATAGATATCAATATAGATATATATAGCTAGATATATAGGATGACATTTGTTAATGAACCTATATTTTATTAGAGATAATCCTTGTTATTAGAGTTTTAATAGATATTAGATATATTTTATTATTATATATATAAACCAATCTCTGCAATGGTTTGAATGAGGATGAGGAGAGATAAAATGAATGCAGTAGAGTCATGTAGGAATGTAGATTAATTAAGATTGTCGGATCAATAATATTGAATCGATCTGAACCGCGAAAACTTAAGACAAACAAAGCTATCTACTTTATTATATAAATATACATAGATCTAGGGATATATATGAAATATATATACAGATCTATGTATATATTGTTATATACATAGATCTAGGGCTATATGTTTGATTCCATAGAAAGGAGTTACAAAGAGAGAGATCGATAGAGATGGAAAGAATGAAATCTGACCTTGAGAGAGATATTGATGGAGATGGAGTGCTAGTTTTCTAGATCCGAGAGCTCTTTTGCTTGGGCTGCATTTGTTGCTGGCGTCGTGAGAGAGAGACAACAAAGAAAGACGACGCAAAAAAGGGATAAACAAGTTTTTATACTTGGAACAAAAAACCCATTTTTGTTGCTAATGGGGTTCGAAGGCCAGACCTCATTAATTGGGGCCGATGAGCCAGCGTGTTTGCATTTTTTCTTTGTTTTTGAAAACTCTAAAATCTTGTTTTCAAAATTTTGAGTTGTTTACAAAACAAATTAGTCAAAAAAAAAACTCCAAACATCTTTTTTTGTTTTTTGAAAAAAATTAAAAACAAAAAAATATATATAAACATCATGTTATCCAATGTAGCCTAAAATATTCCATAAGATATTGAATAATGTATATTCAAACAACTCAACATATTATAAAATATTAGTGAAAACGTGCAATGTTTTTAATTCAATTCTTTTGAAAACAAAGACATTTTAGTAAATTTTAATAAATGTTACTAAAAGAAAAAAAATTAGCTCATGCACGTGCACTCACACGTAGGATTGTAGCCCAAAATTAGTGGGACCCAAAAAGACTGGCCCATTGGTAATGGTTCAAAAGTATCGTTGTGAAATGATTGGTGGATAGGTGATAGCCCCCTCCAAAAAAGGATGCATATACCATCATTAACTGACCCAATCGCACAGTGGAGAAGATCATAAGTCCCACAGGTAACTAGAATTTTCAGAAAACAGTCATGTGGCTTCCCTCTAACATTATTTCTGATCTCTTGCACTCTCCACTACCTCTAGAAGGCTCCCATCAAGACTCCCCATCTTGGGGCCTTACAAGCAATGAAAAATTCTCTATCAAATCTGCTTATAACTGGATTGTTGAACCGAATCTAAGTCAGTATCATGGATTAAACTAGAATTGGTTTTGGAAACTTGGGAGACCATAGAAACTCAAGCACTTTTTGTGTCTGGTCCAAAACGACAGACTCCTTTCTAACTCCCTAAGATTCACAAAAAACCTCACAAATGATCCTTCCTGTAAGAGATGCAGGGCTCATAACAATTCATATCCTGAGAGATTGCCTAAAAACTAATCTGGTTTAGGGATCATTCCTGTTAAGGAACTCCACCAGGATCAATCTATGGAGCTCCATAATTGACTCATTCAAAACTATAAAGCTAGAAAGGATATTTGTTGGAGAGGAGTGAAATGACATATTCTTTTTGCTTATCTAATATGGAACATCTGGAAAGATAAGAATCAAGAATGTTTGGGTAACACAAACACCCCAAATCATCGCTAAGAAAGTTTGGAGACTGGCACGGGTTTCATTGGATGCTTTCAATGAATCCCATACCCACGTGATTCCCAATTCCCCCAAACTCATTGGTTAGTATTTCTCTCCTATAGGATGGATGAAGCTAAATGTGGATGGTAGCTCGAAAATGAACCCTGACTCAGCTACAATCGGTGGACTGCTAAGGAATGATCAAGGAAAATAACAGCTAGTGTTCTATGGAAAGTTAAAGGACCCCCCGAGCCTTCAAGCCAAACTGTGGGTCTATTTATCAAGGTCTCAAGATCATACAAACACAAAATTTCAAGAAGGTGATCATGGAACCTGATTCTTTGAAAGCTCTCAACCTAATTAGTGTTAGGTTGGAAGAACTTTATTCCGAAAGGAATATCATTGTCAACTGCAAGTATATAATGGAATTGACTAATACCTTATTTTTACACACTAAGAGAAAAAAATTTCTGTGCTGATAAGATGACAAGCCTAGAAGGACTACAATAGCACTATTTTGTGTCTTGAAGTCCCACCGCCTATGCTGGGACAATTCTTTTTGAATAAAATTTCTTGTATCTCTTTGCCGGAGGGTTTAGATAACCCTTTGGCTTTTTCCATGTACCAAAACAAAAAGAGACTAGCCGACATGGCACCGTCTCATCCAACCGGTGACAGCCACGGGCCTTCCGCGATTGGGATTAAACTCCCACCAATCACGTTTCACACACTCAAACACCTTCGTAATACACTCACATATATAAATGCGAAGTTGGGTCCCTGTCGTCATAATTCATTTCTTTAATTTCCCGGCAAGACAAATCCCACCAATCCTCCAAAAATTACATACACCTCTCCAAAAATTACACACACCTCCCTCTTCTCCACTCAGAAAAACCCTAATTTCTCTCTCTCTCTCTCTCTCTCTATTGCGCACACAGTGACTCAGTGAACGAGAATATCACTTTCAGATTCAAGCGCCGAATCTATAAACTGTTGATTTGAGCTTTGATTTACTGGATTGTGAAGATTGTATGGCGGAGGAGAGGAATGGGGATCGAAGTGAAACGAGTGATTACACATCGGAAGACGAAGGGACTGAGGATTACAGGCGCGGGGGTTACCACGCGGTTCGAATCGGCGATACATTCAAGCATGGGCGTTACGTTGTGCAGAGCAAGCTCGGGTGGGGACATTTCTCCACTGTTTGGCTCGCTTGGGACACTCAGAAATCTGTACGTCATCTATAGTACGGCCTCCCCTCTCTCAATGCACACAAACGCAGAGAGAGAGGACGCTCTCTCTTTTGTTGACTGTTATTGTAGATTTGTTGATTCTCTGATTCGTATGTTTGTTTACGCTTTGTTTTTCGTATCCATGATGGCTTGATGATACTGGTATCTCTAACTTCACGTGCGTTGTTTTTCTCACAATAATAAAAAGATGAACTTGACTGTGTTTATCTATTTTGGATCTTAAGGCTATTTTTGGGTTACGAATCAGAGAGCAGCCATATTGTGCGAATAATACAAAAGCTTAAGTCCCCAGTCCGTCCCTTTTAACACTCTCAATTAACACGGTATCAAACTGGGCGAACAACTTTTTTTCTCTGTTTTGATTCCTAATAGATATACCAATTGGAGTGTGTTTACTTTCATTATTGAACTCCTTAGGAAGATTAGGAGGGACCGTTGTTTTCTTCGCCCAAGAAGATATTTAGAGCACTACTCTTTGTTATTATTTAATACATCTTGGTTTACCTGATTCCCTCTTGCATTAAAAGAAGGATTCTGTGTGTTCATACTTTCGGTTGCAAATTGCATGGTGCAAATCCCTGACCAGGGTAAAAATTATTTCTTGTAGATATATGTAGCTTTAAAAGTTCAAAAAAGTGCTCAGCATTACACTGAGGCGGCAATGGACGAGATAACAATCCTAAAACAGATTGCTGAAGGAGACCCAGATGACAAAAAGTATGTTGTGAAGCTTTTGGATCACTTTAAACATTCAGGGCCAAATGGGCAGCACGTTTGTATGGTTTTCGAGTACTTGGGTGACAATCTTCTGACCCTAATTAAGTATTCAGACTATAGAGGAATCCCTCTTCACATGGTCAAAGAAATCTGTTTCCACATTTTAGTGGGTTTGGATTATTTGCATCGTCAGCTCTCGATTATCCACACAGATCTGAAGCCAGAGAATATACTGCTTTTATCTATGATTGATCCGGCAAAAGATCCGACGAAGTCAGGCATGCCTCTGATACTCCCATCCAGTAAGAATAAGATAGTGGCTGACTCTGGAACTTCAAAAGATGTGAAGAGCTTAAACAGTGATTTGACCAAGAACCAGAAGAAGAAAATTAGGAGAAAGGCTAAGCGGGCTGCTCAAAAGTGTGTCGGGAAGGAAGTCTCTAGGGAAGGTGAGCTGGATAGTGAAACAACTAGTCCAGAAGATTCTTGTCGTGATGAGAAATCAAATGGGGATGCTGTTGAAGAACAAACCAGTTCTCTAGAACTGAAAAATAATTCAACAAACACAGATGGAGTAAAGGACGCTAACCAAGGAAATCAAGGTCGTAGGAGAGGCAGCCGTTCCGCTAGGCAGAAGCTGTTGGCTGATGTTGACCTTAAGTGCAAATTGGTTGATTTTGGTAATGCTTGTTGGACCTATAAACAATTTACAAGTGATATCCAGACAAGACAATATAGATGCCCAGAGGTTCTTTTAGGATCTAAGTATTCAACTTCAGCTGATCTATGGTCCTTCGCTTGTATTTGCTTCGAGATGGCCACTGGTGATGTTCTCTTTGATCCTCATAGTGGTGACAACTATGACAGGGATGAGGTATGGCCCTCCGTTCTTTACACCTTCGAATCCTTTTTACATTTTTAGATTGTTCATTGGAATTTAGATTTATGTTTTGAATTATGTATTTTTTGTGCTTGAAAAATATCCATGTGTAGCACACTAATGTGCTCTATGGTATGCCTTAAGAGCTCAAGGGTTGGAAGTGTAGCTGTGTTTAACATCATCTTCACCACTGGTTGATTTGATGTTTACTGGTGATGTGTGTGGCACATATCTTTCTCTCAGGCATTTGAATAACAGTTTTGAAATGTTTTTTAGCAGATTCAGATCGATCCTTTAATCACTGAGTTTTTTCCGTGCTTGTGCCCTGTGCGTCATATTTGCGTAGACTTTTTTTCGGTTTCAGAGTCTTCTTACATCTGTTTTTTCGGTTTCTCAATTGTATACTGTTTGAGGCTATGCTATTTCATTGTATTCTTTAATATTCCTGAAATTTTCATCTCACAAAGTAAACATATCTTCAATGAAGTACATATTCTCTAAGGCTTTATCATGTGGATGTGGTAAGCCCATTGTTATTTTTACAAATAAATCACCTTCCAATTTGTATCACCCTCGAACTTATGGATTAATCTCTATTCATGTCCTTCCTTGTTAATTAACTAGCAAAGGGTTTCTGTTCACATTTTGTTGTTTCTATTTGTATCAACTAAAATTTTCAGTTAATTGTTATGTGTGGTTGTATGTGGTGAGGATTTATCAGTTTTGAAATTTAGTGATGTCAACTGACTTTTCTGTCCCATCTTCTTCTTGATTCTTTCCCTCATTGCATTCTCAGTTTATTGAAAACCAGCTTTTTAAAAGTTCTTGTTGATTTGGACTAGACTGAGCATGAAGTAAGTTGGTTTACTGGTGACAAGTCTGGTCTTATATGACTGGTTATTACACGTGTGTGTTTTTGTCTTGGTCGTTTGTTCTCGTCTTCAAGTTCTATTATTATTTCCTTAAACTGAGAGCAGATTTTAGCACAGTAGTAAGGTTGCTTCATTCTAATTTGAGCGTCAAATGTTTGAGCAGTGGAGACAGCCTGTCTGCACCAGGGTTGAGGTTGTTATATGTGACCCATGTAGACCCTGTTATAGGAGTCTTGTACCTTGTGCTGCCCTTTTAGTGGGCCTATAGGTGATTATGTATTTCATTACAAGAAGTCCCCACATAGTATTGCAATTAATTATTCTCTTTGTGCATAACTCATATGTAAAGTTGTTGTCATAGCGTAGGTGTTAATAGATGGACTTGATGACTAGGTTGAGAAGGATGAGATATTTTTGGCTTATTGGGGAAGAATGATGATGGTTTCAAATTTCACAAGAATTTCTATACCGGTTGCTTAATTGGCCTTAGGAGAGAGATGATGTTAAGGTTTGAAATATTTTTTTGATTATTAAAGTGATAGTATGGACATGAAAATGTTTCTAATGATCTACATTATTGTTCTTTTGCCGCGAAAGGCTTTGACTGCTATGCTTTTCATGAATATGTTGAAGTCCAACTTGGCTGACCAAAAGTACATAAATTTATGGAAAATGAGACTGATGGAGTATAATTACAACCCTGTCTAGCAACTATTTTGCCACTACAATTAACCCATTCCCAGTTCTATTTTTCCCCAAGATTTTGTCTCCTCTATGCATTGGTATATTGCTTTTGTCTTAAGGTAGAGGTGAATGATGAAGTTTTGTTGATTAAGTGTAGTGTGTCTTCTTTATGGGGGATTGCCTTGGCGTATAAAGCTATACTTTTAAGGGTTTTGTCCTTCAAATACATTATTATGTTATTGCAAGTGGTGTTGGGTAAGGAATAATAATTCTACCCCTCTAGGGGCGAGTTTCTCTCAGGCCTTTTGACTTTTGGATGCTGTGGGCCTTTTAGCTACTTGTAATCATGGTTCTTGTCAGTATTAGTATTTAAACTCAAACATTATACTAAAACTATCTATGCTATACCTGGCTTGTCTGGTTTGATCGAGTCTTTTTGCTATATCTGTTTATTTCACAGGATCACTTGGCCCTGATGATGGAGCTTCTTGGAATGATGCCACGTAAGGTAAGTGTTCTCTGCGACTTGCTGCAAGAAATGTGAACCGGTTGATCTTGAAATCCATCTAAATCAGTTGACAACTGTATAACGCTTGCCACCATATAGTGCTCTTTTCTTTTCCAGTACTTGATTAACATCCCTCACAGATTGCTTTGGGTGGGCGCTATTCGCGGGAATTCTTCAATAGACATGGGGATTTGAGGCACATCCGTCGATTGCGATTCTGGCCTCTTAGGAAGGTGCTCATGGAGAAGTACGAGTTTAGTGAGCAGGATGCACATGACATGGCCGATTTCCTTGTTCCAATACTTGATTTTGTCCCTGAGAAAAGGCCTACGGCTGTGCAATTGCTTGGTCATCCATGGATCAGCTCAGGCCCTCGACTTCTTGTGCCTTCCATGGTTGGTTCTCTACCCCAGGCAACGGATAATGGTATTTCCGAGAAGAAGAGAGAGAAGGACGAGAGGGAGGCAATGGAGGTTAGGGTGGGGAATATTGCCATTGATGGAGCTTCAGAGCTTGTCAAAGAATCTCAACCCACAGTAAACGCACCAAAACAGACATAAATAGCTATTGATACTTTATGAACCTTTTTTGACCTTACACAGCTTTGCCGAACTAGTGGGTGCTCACCCCCCCCCCCCCCCCCCCCCAAACAAAACACCCCCCAAGCGGGAAAAAAAAACCTTCCTCCCCATTCCTGCCCCCCTGGTTTGAGGAATAGGAGGTGGAAGCGCACTGTCCTCATCTATCATCTTCAGTTGTGAAAGAATATCCTATCCAAGCACGCTCAAAATTCAGTAGTACTAATTTTCTCGAAGTGTATCCCCATCTATGCTCAACAGATTGCATTTGATAGAGTTTCTTGTACAATTTCTATTCTCTGTTTTGGGCTATTAATGTATCAGACATTTACCTGGAGACTGATTCTATTGTGATGGTGACAATTGTTGGATAGGAAATTGTACATTTGGCTGAGTTGGTGTCCATGATTTTTTATAAAAGATTTTGAACACGGTATGCTTTTGTCTTACGTACTGATTTTATTTTGGGAGGATGGTTTTGAAGTACAAGTTCCTGATGTAAAATTGATTTACTCTGAAGCCCGCAGCTTGATGTGGTTTTCGGACGTTTGACAATCTCTCATTTGGTGCGACTGGAATTGATAGCTGGATTGTATTGTGCGGTTTCTTGAAACTCCAGCATTTGGTAATCTTTTGGTTGGAATTATATTGATCTGAATTGTGTTTCAATCTTGAAATATTCTTTAGCGATCAGAGTCGAGAGAACCATTAAATAGAAATAGGAGCTGGAAATATCCTAAGCAAAAGAATCTCAGAGCCAGCCATAGCAATGGACTCACCATTGATTGCTGTTTTAGTGAATTGCCTCAAACCAGTATGCCTGTCACAAACACAAATACAAAGTAGAGAGAGACGACTAGTTTGGTCTTGAGATCTTAGCTACGAAGGCATCATTTTTTTATAATATTGAGCAAAAATGTTCTCACAGACAAATATTGTATCTGTACGTTCCAGCAGAACTATCCAACTTCATTATGCCATTTCAACTTTCAGACATATTTCAAGAAGCCTAACAACTCTATTAATAGAACTGTGTCCACCAGCCATCTCTTTGGTGGGAGTGAGCATCCTGCTCCTCTCATTGCATAAGCACAGAAACCAACTTGATGGAACACCAAATTCTACTCTTTCATCTATACGATATTGCAGAAATTGTGGTTGCATTTTCCCATCAATGGGACCAAACAGAACATATCGACCATATTATAGACAATGACATGAAAGCAATATTTTTATTGCCCTTGCTGGGATTCAAAGCTGAACTTTCTCAAATTCTGGCATCACCTGTGAATTAATGGTAAGGTCATATAAGTTTCACGGGGTAAAGGTGTCGATCTCATGGACTGATGTTTGCCATAGACCCCCGAAATAACTGGTTTTCCTAATTGAAGAGAAACAATTATGGGCTCCAGTCCAGCTCTCTTTACTTTCCCACTTGTCTCTTCTTTCTAGTGGTCCATGGCCACTGCTTACATAAAATCATGGAGTCCATGAAATTATCACTCAATCTAAACTGCATGGTGACTAATTTACACAACAATATTCATGATGGAATCACTAGCATCACTAACCAGCAGTGATAGATGCAGCCTCTCTGAAGCTCACAATATTTTCCTTCGCCTGAGATATGAATACAAAAGAAAAAAGGACACAACAGCGCCAACAATAATCCCTGCTGTTGTTAGCCAAAAAGCGAACTGCATCAAACCAAACAGAAGATGGAAAGCAGCATGAGCATGTGAATATCATGCTAACATATATTGGAAGAAGAGGCAAGCATTCAGAAACCCGAGGTAATAGTACCACTTGTTCTTCAAGATAAGACTTCAAGTTCATGCCAAATATCCCTGCAAGCAACAAGAAGTGAGCTCAAAATAATCGTATGCTCGGTAAGCGGGAATCAAGCATGACCATAAGTTCCTAATTCCCATGGAAATGAAATCATTCGAGCATTTAATCTAAGTTGTTTTGTTTCTTTGGGATGTATAATAAATGCCGAAGTAAGGTTGATATCTCATGAAATTGAGTAATTCTTGTTTTTTATGGGATGGATTCATTTTACTCGTGATACCCTTCATATTTAAAGATTTCAAGAAATCGAAAACCAATAATCAAATATCTAATGGAATTTATCCTGTTTTGCTGGATGAAATTGAAAATCTCCGTTAAATATTGAATTACATCATTGTTGTGGTGCCCACTGTATATTTTGTGCACTGCAACACTTTTCTGGTAATACACCATTTTGAATGATGAATATACCATATCCACTATTAATGGTGTCACAAAGCGGCAATTCTGCAAATCAATAATATAGGCAAAGAATTTAATATTTAACAACCACCTGGAACAACAATTGCACTCTAGTTCACTTCAACCAAACATAATAGCCAAATTTATACCACTCAGTATTTGCTTAGCAACTAGAACAGAAAAGAAGCTAAATGGACTATTATGTTGGTAAGAAATGGCCTGGAAAAGATATTTGAGGTCCCAAAATAGTTATATCACACAGAGCCACAATATACATGCTTGCTTTTACCCAGGGGCAGAATGCAAGTTCCTACTTTCATACCAAACAGATCTTGGACCTAGATTCGAGGGACCACCCAAAGCTAATGGTCATTTAATTGTCAAGCTGGGGTTCAACTTGTGGAGAAAAATCTGGCAGGCAATTACTTGGAATGGACGAGATATTTAACATATGCACATGTGTATCCATTAGCCAACGTTATATTGATAGGATCCATGATATACATAGATGTAATGTCTACAAGGCAGGCAGAAATTCATGCGGTCTTAGAACTACAAGTTGAGCCCTGGAGGCCGGGCGTATGCTTGACCTGAACTGTAGATTATAAGATTACGCCAGGAAACCCATGGTCAGTTTATGCCAGTGTTACATTACCCTATTATTATAATGCCAAAATAGGCTTTTGGACAAAATGCTAAATAATGCTCATCATGATGAGAAAGTTGCTAATTGATAAACATGACAATTGACAAGTCACACAAAATGGGGGGAAAAAAGGAAAGCACTGTGCAGTCAGCATCGAACATATCAGAACCATAAGTAAATTGGACAATATCGTAGCAAGAAGTAATTTACCGGCAACCAAAGCACCAACTGCAACACAAAATGTCCCAACCTGAAGTAGTAATTCCAGTCTGCTTACCTCAAGCCTCCGAGAGCTGATTAGAAAAAAGTAAAATGCTTAGAATAAGAGGATGATATTAACTGGTGTAGATATGGGTATTGAACATTCAGCTAGGTTTTAAACTCCTCTAACTTTTAGGAAAGGAATGTGTGAAACCAATCAATGCCAATTACTTCGGACTAGTGCTTGTGCCCAACATTGGCCACTGAAGGCCACACCAAGTCATTAAATTAAGATATGAGTTGGTCCAGACTAGACCACTCTCCTGAAAGAACAGTGAGAAAAAAAATTTGGGCTCCAGCCTGCCCATGGCCGCTTCTAGTCCATGGCACAAGAAGAAATCACTCGGTTTCAGCAGCAATTTTCATTGCCCTTTCATCATCTTCATTTGGTGGTCATTTCCTCTCTCTCTCTCTCTCTCAGCCAGCTAAATTCTTTACATGCTCATTTCAAAAGAGCCTATTCACTAATGCAACAAATGGAGGTTCACCTATCAGATTAACTTGAAAAACAAACTAAATATCATATAAGTCAAAACATGTTCAAACCTTAAATTAACAGCAATTGAGTCTTCCATTTCTTTTGCAGAATCAAGAAGCCTTTCTGCTTGACCATGACAAGATTCACATCTGCAATTGCAATAAAAAAATCAGACTAACTTATCAACAGACAATCTAACTACACTATGTCAGCGTTGGAGTTGTTTCCCAAGATAACACACAACAGAAGCCATGAATTAATAGAAACTTGTAGAACACTTCAGTCGTAATGTTCAAAGATGAGAACCTTCTACAAATACTGTGAAGATCAGTCTCCAAACGGTATAGTAGTCCATGTCACAGGTGGCCCCATTGATCATATCCTCAATGCAGTAATTTAGCCAAAAAAAAAAGAAAAAAACCAACTATCTTGATGAACATAACTAATATAAGGTTATTTTGATTCCCAAAGTAGCATTGGAAAGCTTGACTTAAAGTCAACGGAACAGTATCTATGAATTATGATCCATACTATTCAAGTCTGGCACTACAAAAAATTGTTACCCAACATATGGATCTATCAGTAGATATAGTAGTTGGTCATTGAGAGTAATCTACAAGCTCATAAAGGTTTACAGCTACAATCAATATTCTTCCGACAATAAATAGAACATTACAATGTAGATATAGACTTTGCAGTCTTATTTTGTGTTCCCAACCTTTAATTACTTGAATGTACATATGGTAGTAAACCCTGAAACATTCTATTTGCATTCTCTAATTCACGTATTGTTGTATGATTTTCGCATGCACTGCATCATTTTAACCTAAGAAAGACTAAAGGTATAGCCTTATCCAAAAGGTAGAAAGAAATCATATCCATGGTAAGCACATAAAGATTAACATCAGGATTGATGTGATGGACCAATAAATAACCTTTGAAGATAGTTTTCCAAAAGCATTTCAATTTCTTCCTCCTCTTCTGTAGATGGAAAATAAAACCCAACAGTAATTAGATTTACACGTACAAATTGAATTGGCATCTGGACCAGTCCTAAACAAAAGTCAGTATGCTTATGAATACAGAAACCAGTACATGAATTACCCTCAGCTATCTGCTTTTCCAAGGGAACAGAACATTCCATGTCATTGTTTTCTTTCTTAAGGGTGCAATTTCTTCCCATGATACAGATACGACGTATTTCATGAGGATCCTCAAGAATATCAAGTAGCATCTGTTTCAGAGCCCCTGCCCTTGAGTCCAACTCAACCTTTCATGCAAAGTATTAAAAAAAGACTCTTTCTCAAGGTCATCGTTTTGGGCAACTGAACCGTATAGATTTATGTCATCATTAAACAATATCCCAAAAATATTATACCAAAGTCTGCTTGCTGGTACGAAGTTGCTCCAATATGTCAGCCGTTAATCGGTTGGGCAAAACCTCAAGTAAAGCTTGAACCTGGAGCAAATGGCAGAACACTACTTATAACCCAAAGAGTGCACAGCCGTGCAACTACCAGAATTTAACATATTAGTGTTTGACTTCTATTTATGATTTTCATGTGGGAAGACTATGGTTCCAATAAAACTTTATTGACAGAAATAATTGATGCATATATGTGTGCCTGTGCGTTCATGGAACCAAAATCAAAATTGCCGTGATATTCGTTATATACTTTCTACCCCTATGTCCTTTCACAAAAAGGTCAGAGTTTTAATTGGAAGGATGGCACATTTTATAGAGAAATTTTGGAATGCCATGAATACTAGAAATTGGAGATTTATGTCTACATTGGAAATGCCCTTTTGACTACTTTAAAAATCTTACAGAGTCTATCAGCAGCAGTAACAGACCACACAACGTCCAGGTAGTTGCCCAACCCTCACACCCAGCCAATTTTCCCAAGACACAACTAGTACCATTGAAGTACGGAAGGAAGAAGAGAGGAATCCACTCCAAGTCCCTTTTGTGTGTGGATCTCCTGTATCGACTGGACTATACACACACACACACACACACACATGTCCACTATGTTCCCATACTCACACGAGGTTCTAAATCCACTAATCTGTGCTCCAATCGCTGAATTCGTGAATGCAAGGCTGCTTCCACCGCCTGAAAATTCCGCATCAGAAGTCTTTTCAGAAACTCCAGGTGATAAAATGATTTCAATTTCAGATATTTAGCATAAATATGCAGTCAAAAACCACAAACAGGGGTTAATACTGAACTTTTAGATGCACGCACACAGAGAATGAGAAAAGAGGAACATGACTCTTCACATGCTCTTTGCAAGAAGAATAATTTAGAGCATGCAGGCAGAAATGTGGTGAGGATTGGATGGAGTTCACTAATTACGTCGATACACGTGGTCTGATTAAATCAATTCAATATTATACAGATTCGGATTAATTGATGACAATAGCCAGGAATGAGAGCAAGATCCATTTACAAACATTTGTAACTATCCTAATAAACAATCTACAACCGCTCTAATTGCTTACAGGCTTAAAAAAGATCACAGATGCAATATAAAATAATAAATTGAACGTATATAGAAAAATAACATGGAAGAATTGTCGGGAAAAGTTTACCCTAAGAAGAAGAAGCAGCAGCCAAAGAATATAATATTGCTTTTATCATTTGATAGGAGTAACCAACAGTAAAAAATAAACAGAAAGGTAAAAATTCACATACAACTTTATTGAGAATGGAATTTGACAGATTGTTACGGAAGCAAGCACTTTGCAGTCTGGTAAAAACTATTTAATTCTTTTTTTTTGTCATTTATCATCACTTTCCATTTGGAGGCCAGCAGGAGATAACAAGATGAAGTTAAAAAACATGTTGAAGCCCAAAAGAAACTTTGTTTATACAGTGCAAGCTTTAGAGAAAGAAAATTAACAACGTGCTACCCTCCAAATAGAATTTCCTCATCTGAAAACTTTATAATCCAAGGTAAAGTCATTACGTAAAAGCTAGAACTAACTTACCATTCTTTACGAACTCATGAAAAAAGGTTAGAAAAAAATCTAATGATTGGCACAAAAGGAGTCCAGCCCACCTATGGCTGTGGTTGCCAATGCCCACCAGCCCATCATCTCTCTCTCTCTCTCTCTCTCTCTCTCGATACACATGATGCAACTTTGTATAGTGAGATTAAGAGATAGTTACACCAATGGCAAGATGTTGATTAAAGCCTTTTCATTGTGTGAGATTCCATAAGCTAGAAATCTCTCAACCTTAACGAATCCAATAGACGATAAAATCTTTACTTAACAGCATAGACCTCAACCTACAAAATATATTATCTTTTCGTCCCACAGATTGTAGCATCAGGCCATAAGTAAACCCAGCACTAATGCACCATCACTTTCACATGAAGCATAGAATTGTAGGACCAGACTCACCTCAAGTAAAAATGGCATTGATGGCCCTCCGTTGACATTTTTGGGATTTAAGCGAGGTAACAATGCATCAATCAATGCTTTCCCTCCTTTACTACAGATAATCAACATGTGTGATCAGGAAATCATTAAGGGTTCCCTTTGATAATAAGTAAAATCAATTACTTGAAGTAAATCAACCCAAACATCAAATATCTTGCACACCCAAGTAGGAGAAAATTACCGGGTATAGTTAAATATAAGAACACACTCTTGCATCACTATAGCCCTTAATGTGCCCAAATTCAAAAGAATTGCATGCTCACGGACCTGTAATTTAAATCAAAAGTGAGCATCAATCTTGGCCAGTTCATCAAGGAGCAGTTCTTATTATAGAGATTTAAGTAAGAAGTCTCACAATCAATAAATAAATTAAAGACCAAATTGGACAAATATGTTAAATTACCATCCTCAACCAGCTTCATGGAGCATTGATGCTATTTTGATATTCATAGTAAATAATTCGAGTTAACAACACTTGCTCCTAAGTCCAAGAAAACAATGTCACATTTAATAAAAAAACTCACTAGCATAGGTTCATTCTCAAAGCAAGTTCATAAAAGGTATCAATCATCTTAATAGGGATCGCAAGAAACCATTTTGCACCCATGTGAGGCCCTGTGGGCGGGGGCTTGTTTATTCTTAATTTTAGGACTCAACTACATAAAGCTTCTAATTTTAGAGATTGGAGTTTTTCTCTGTTTCTTCTTCTCTTTCAGTTTTTCTGGTCATGCATCATTCTAATTTTATGTTTTAATCCATCACAGCATTCAAAAATCAAATAAATGATTAGCAAATATAAAAAGGCAATATTTGTTTAGTAAGAAAGAGTTTTTTGTTTACAGGTTTTATTTAATGCAATGGTAGAAGCAAGAAAGAAATCCATACAAGTTTATAACTCTTTTCTATATTATAATCCGCAGAGAAATATTTCAAAAAATCCAGGGAGTTTCTTGAGGCCATATATAATACTAAAATGCTCCAGCTGAAGACAAAAAATGGATGCAACTAATTGATAAAAAAAACACACAACTTAAACACTGCCAGAGAGCAATACCATCAAAGAGGGCATTGAGTTTGTCAACCACAATGATGGATCAACACTCCGAATATCTCGAGGACGAAGACCTGTTGCCAAAAATATTGTTCAGGAGTTCAAAAAAGGGAGGAGGAAGAAGGAGAAGGAGAAGAAATATAGAGACAGTTTGTAGCTGTTGTAGGTTATGCCAATTCCTAAGCATGATTATGGAATGAGACAGAAGCAAGAGTAATGTAATAAAGTGACAATTATGCAAAGTGCTCATTGCAAGTGATACAAATAATGTAGAAATGCAGTGTTGATGAACATCAACATAACTTTCCAATAGACAAGAATCAAGAAGTGCAACAAATTATGGACTAAGTAATAATAAAAGTAAATAATTCAATCAGCATAGTAGTAAACTATCAGAACATTGTTCTGCATAAATAAGTAAAATAGTAAACTAAGTTGAATGTAGAGAAGACATACAATTTTCCCAAAAAAGTTCACTCACCACTTGACTTGAGCAATTGTCGCCTGTTTATTTTCCTAGTAGATACCATCCCATTTGACCTTACTTCCACCACCTTTTGGGAAAAAAAAACCATATACATTTAAGGAATAATAAGACATAAAACAAGTGTCTGAAAGAAAATGAAAAAGAACAAAAAAGGAGGGTGGCTGCAGAATCCCAATGATCACAGCAAAATATCACAGGGTTGATAAAATGGTTTCAGTATCAGCCTACCTATCTTATTCTACCAAACAGCTCTGTATAGAGGCATATTTGTCATTAGTAGTTAGCTTCCAAATCTTTTTCAGTTGAATCTGTAGAGGCATATCCTTTAAGAATCTTGTACCACTAGTAATTGACTCTCTCAAGGGTGATGTCATATTACTGTGCACATGATAAAACCAACTCAAGCTCCTCTCTCTCTCTCTCTCTCTCTCTCTCTCTCAAATTCCTAACCTGTTGCTAGTCAATTAACATTGGAAGCCAATAATACAATGGGGGCCAGTAGGCTCCTTCCTTCCATTGGAATCGTGGGGAGATTATTTCTTGCAGGCTCACTATTTTTTGTCCTTTCTAAACATCCCACTGCACAATCATCGATCTTATCATCATTCTCCATGCTTGATGTTGAACACCTTTCTTATAGCCCAATCACAAAATGTGTGTGGTCTTAGTACCAAAAGGAAGCTTACGGAGGGAGAGGAAGAGCCAAACATGCATAAACATGGTCAAAATTCCTAAGTGAATGACATAGAGGGTGAAGACCTGCCTAGACTTGCAATTTGTATAAAAATGGTTGAAACCTTAATCTATATTTTCCATGGTGAACTATACTTATTAAGCATAAACCAATATAAAGCTAATTAAATTAATGTATCGACAATAGACAAGGTGACCAGACAAAGGTCGACCATCCACAAATTGGATTGCATTGCTACATCCCCATGCATTTTCGCCGTAACCAATCACATTGTAAATGCTGTCTATGTTCAATTCATCCAATGCTGTTTCACAGTAGAAGTGGAACTAAAGTTACAAATCTACCCAGTTTGATAAACATTGCTTTGAACTTATTAGACATATTGGCCTATATTTCTTCATTTGAAGATAATCATGGCAAGAAACTTCCTGTACTATTTCGAGTTCTCCTTAATTTACCCCTGTTTTTCTAAAAAGCTAATTGCTCCATAACTTTGAGGGAACAAGAGAACACTAGCTTGACAACTGGTTTGATCCAGGTGCCCATTTAGGAACGAAACAAACCCCGCCATGGATTTGAGATATTAATAAGGTGAATAGCCGGTCTATTCAATGATAGGCATAATGAATATAAGGATCTCAAAAAATATATTTCCGTCCTATGAACTTTAAGGTTGAAAAGACTCCCGAATCATAAAATTTATTGAATACTAACTTCCCAATCTGTCACTATGGTATGTGCAGTTCGAATAAACAAGTTTACAATTCGGAAACGAGAAAGAAAAAAGTATTAGAGAAGAACGCTACATTACTAATCAAAGAAATGGACCTCGTAAACTGGTTCACGAATTCCGAGAGACAAAGAGTCACCGGAAGAAGTAGCGATCCTATGAGACCCAGACTGACTGATGGAGAGTTCTGGACGGACGACATCAACAGAGTCCTGTTGTGGGCCGACTTTGACGGCTTCTCTGGACTTGTCATCATCACCGTCACTTGTCAGGGTCTCTGGTTCAGTGTCCTCCGTCGATTTCGCCAAGCACTTGATTTTGCACGGAAGTCTCGCTGAAATTGGGAACATAGGAACGCTGTTTCTTTGCAGCAAGACTGGAGACGACGACCATCGTGATCCGAACAGGCTGTAGCCGGCGAATAGTGGGTATTGAGAAGAGGACTGAACCGGTAACTGAACAAAGGGTGAATGTGAAGGAGAGTAGGAACAAATCGGTGCTGTGGCCATTGTTGGTGGTGAGCTTCAGCGGGGATTCTTGTGAGCATGTGAATTGTGTATGAAATAAATCTCTGTTCTGAACAAATTGAAGTAGGAATATATTCTGGACCGGATATATGTATATATCTATATCTATATATATGCTCGGGATGTGTGTGTGTGTGAGAGAGAGAGAACTAAGAAGTATGGATGAAGCTAGTGGTCGTTATTGTTTTGGGCATTTCAGGTGAGAAGGTGGTTGGTTGTGTTATCCTGGTGATCCTGCCTGCTTCCACGTCGATATTTCTTTTTTAAGAACTTTTGGTTTTCATTTTTTTCAGAGCCGAAACCTGAAGAAGACAAAATATTTATAAAATAAAAAATACTATTAGTTCAAAAATCAAAACTAAAAGACTAGAAGTAATTATAGGAAGAGCAACCACCTTTTACTCGTTTCCTATTTAGCTTCATTCTAATATTTTTCTCCCTATATTATTTTTGGTTAGATGACCGATTATGTCTTGGTGTGATTCATTAATATACAATAGATCCTATTTAAATTTATAATAAATAATTTACTAAAAAAAAAAGATATTGACAAAAATCTCATCCTAAAAGAACAAATTAAATTCACGTGTATTTCTATGTCACTTTCTTATGTCAGTGGAAAATATGTCACTCTTCCGACTCTTAACATTTATTGCTCAAAACAATTTTACTCCCTTTGTCCATTGTTTTGTTGTATTTTTTGGGAGAGGTTTGAATTGACTTATCCAAATTTAAATTTGACAAAAGATGAGATTCAAAGAAGGGATTCAATATTCAATGTTGTTCATACCCATGTTTGATATGCGCAGGGATATATGACTATTATAATAATATATTTGTATTTAAATGACTATTGTGCCTCTTAACTAATTTAATACAAACATGAGTATGGATATACAGGAATATAAATGTCATTTGAATGTAAAACTTTCAAACTCACATATAAAACCCACCCCCCACGGGTTTCATGAAACCCATGGACAAGGATTTTATGACGAAGCCATGATCGGGCCAAATTTCAAACTCTAGGCTAAATTTATAGTTACCAAACATGGATTTAAGGGGTTTTAGTCCCAACCCATGTTCCAAAACCCCCTCAAACCCACATACCAAACAGCCCCCAGGTGTTATATCTTTTGTCCAACATCCGGTCTAAGCAACTAGCACCAGCGATCCTTCATCTACGACATCACCTGAACATTGGATCGGTTGTCCGCTGGAAGCACTTGCTAATGCAACACAAATTCCCATGAGCTTCTTCCATCATCCTCCTCACTACCATATGTTGACCCCATCCATTCCTCACCACCAAGACATGTTCATCCGATGATTACTCAGTCCAAAGACGGCACTAGGCAACCCAAATTCATAAATACACTATACCAAACATCCCTTACCTTGTTGATATAGCACCACCTCTCTAACTGATATCATTCCCACAAGCGTTACTAATGTTTCTCGTTTGTTTTGAGTGGCGCAAAGCAATGACGAATGAACTCAATGGATTAAGAAAAAATTGTACCTGGACTCTTAAACCATCATAACCCAACTCCAACGTTGTAAGTTGTAAATGGATTTTTCAAATAAAACGATGAGCAGATGATATCTGATGGGATATTTTTGAGAATCAACAGAGAGTCGACATGTGTCTTTGGCTTGTTTGACATGGGCACACCATGGACTGACACGCGTCCTCGACATCTATCCCCTCGGGTCCCTCTATGAGCGACACGTGCCCTTGGCACATGTCTCCCTTGAACCCTCTGCGTCTGACACGTGTCCCCAACATGTGTCTCCTTCAGAACTCTTTACATCTGACACATGTCCTCGGCATGATTCCCTCTAGAGCATCCTCTATATTTGACACATGTCTTCGGCATCATGGACCCTCGGAGGCCCATCCATTCCACATGTGCCCTCGATGTGTGTGACTCCCCCGAGGCCCTCTACTAGATACGTCACCTCGACTTCAAACCCCCCATGTCGACGAGGTATGAATGACGGTTGTCCTGGCTTGAAATAGAAATTGGTCAACAATCATAGATTCCCCTCCCCTAGGCAATCAGGACGACAGAAAAAGGCAGGTTAGTGACCAATAATAGTGATGCACAAAGTGCAAAGCACAGAATTGGAAGTCGATGGACAAAAGTGCTCCTATTCACGACCACCACAAGGGAACATTAAATGACCCTTTAAAAGGATGGGACACATTTATTGCTCGGCGGACCTCGGAAGGAAAGCATTAAATGCTCGAGATCCAAATGCAGAAACTTCTTTCCACATAACAAGGAAGACATTCTGTCCTAGAACTATGTGACACTGGTCACATTTCCTATGGGCCAATAAGGGATCTTCCCTCCAGGAAACTCAGTTATTCACAAATGATTATCTCCATGGAGATATAAATTTGACACAAAAGTATGCACATTCTCACCTCAAGCAATAGAACAGTGATTTTCACCCCTCTTTCATATACTAACTTGATCGTCGGACTTGTTATGCCTAAAAACACTTCAACGCTCTTTTAACCTTTCTTTTTGAGCAACAAGACTTTATCTCGATAACTGGAACGTGACCAAACATCTGAAAAAAGATTCATTAGCATTCCTTATACCATCTCTCACATTCGTTTGTTACAGGACCTTAAGTTTGTCAATGAAAAGATCTGTCTATTAATTTATTGTGCAGAAATTACCGCGCACAATACCATTGAACACTACAAAGCTCGCCTTGTCGCCAAAGGCTTCCATCAACAAGAGGGAATCAACTACATCACCACATTCAGTCCCATTATCAAACTTGACACTATCCGCACTGTATTGAGTATTACAACTTGCCGAGGATGACCCATTAGACAATTAGATGTCAATAACGCATTCTTACATTGTAGTCTCAAGGATGTCATCTACATGACTCAACTCCCTAGGTTCACAGACCCTCAATTTCCCAATCATGTGTGTCGTCTCTGGAAATCATTATATGGACTCAAACAAGCACCTTGTGCTTGATTCAACTGGCTTAGTCATTTTCTCATCGGTCAAGGTTTCCATCCATCTCAAACGGACACTTCACTTTTTATTTGGATTGACTCTCGTTCCATCCTCTATGTACTAATATGTGTTGCCGATCTCATCATCACTGTCACGGGTAACTCGACAACATCCATAACTTCTTTCATCACAACACCCGACATCGAATTCTCAATCAAGGACCTTGGTCCTCTTGGATTCTTCCTCGGCGTTGAGGTCATTCACACACCCACATTCTTCTTTTTAGCCGGCAAGAATATATTGTGCACCTCCTAAAACGGTGTTCCATAGATGATGCAAAGTCTATATCTAATCCATTTTCACTTTCCATAAAACTTCGTTGAAATGAAGGCGACCCATTTGAGGATGCCACTCTCTACTATAGTGTTGTCAACGCTTTCCAATATGTCACCATCATAACGTTGAATCTCTCCTATGTTGTCTACAAAGTCTATCAATAGAGGCAGCAACCCACGCTTACACACTAAACTATCGTAAAGTGGATTCTTAGATATCTTAAAGGAAGCATTGACTTATGCCTTTCTATTACCCAGTCCACCTTCTATAATCTGTCGGCATTTTTCGACGCCGACTGGACAGACTGTCTTGATGATAGAAAATCAACTAGTGACCATGCTATCTTTCTTGGCGCGAACCTTGTTCCTTGATCCTCTCAAAAACAAAGCGCAGTTGCCCGATCAAGCAATCATGCCCTTGCCGATGCTACACCTGAGCTAATCTGAATTCAATCTCTTCTCAAAGAGCTTCATCTCCCTCAACCCACCAGTCATATATTATGGTTAACATTGGGACAACATATCTCACAGCCAATCCGATCTTTCACAATCGCATGAAAAACATATAGAAATTGCATTCTATTTTGTGCGCGGCAATTTTACGGCTGGACATCTTGACGTGAGTTATATTTCTACTACAGACTAGATCACAGACATTCTAACAAAACCTATCTTGACGCCGCAATTTCAGCTACTAAGGAACAGGCTCAACCTCCATGGTCGGATGCTTCACTTGTGGGAACGTAGCAGAGATAATGATTAGCATCACCCAATCTTATCTATTGGACTATCCTCTTGAACAGATACTCTGTGTTAGTTTGAAGAACTCATCATATCTTCACCAAATCACATTCAATCTTCTGTGGTAATCCCATTATAGCACTACTCTGTAAATTCTTGTACATGTCACACTAAAGTAATATAAAGAAATAGTCATTGCCCGTGCAAATTCAAAAGGTTTGATCTAAAAATATACATAAAAATTCTTTTTTTTTAAATAATTCGAAATATATTGTCGATCATATTTTCCATATTAATAAAATTGTCAAAAAAATATATAAAAACTCTCAAAAATAACACTATACATATAAAAATGCTTTTGGGAAAAAATTAAATATTAATATAACTCATTGAATTTATAATCTTTAAGTAATAAATAAAATCTTACTCATTTATAAAACTCACGAATTTATCACATATACTACCACTTAATCCAATAACACAACATAATTATAAACTCAACAACAATAAATCTAATCTACCATATCCCTATGTAATAAATAAATACAAAAAAAAAAAACTAACAAAATACAATTAAATTGACAATCTTTAAATGATAAATAAAATCAATCAAATCTTACACATTTATAAAACTCATAAATTTATCACCATTATCACCCTTCAACCCCAAATAATACAATATAATTATAAATTTAATCACCAAATGTCCAATCCTCCACATATAAATATAAACAGAAACAAACCCCTTACATTTTTTTTTTGTTGCTAATAAACCCTCTTAACTAATAACTATTTTTATTAGAAATGTAATAATTCAAGTTTTTAAGATAAAATAGTAATAAAATAATATTTAATTAAAAAATAGGATAATAATATTGAACATCTCTTGAGTTTTGACAATATTACACAGACACTTTCAGACATTTTAAAAATAACATGAAGACACCTTAAGGTTTGAAATTCATTGTATGGAGACCCCTTATGTCTCCCTTCAATCAATATAGTTAACGAAAATTAATAATTTTATTCCAAATTTTTTATGATTTTTACAATGCCGTTCTCCAAAATTTAGTATCAAAAAAATTAAAAATTTAATAAAATCAAATAAAATTTGACTTAGTACCCAAAAAATTGATTAAATGAATTTCAATATTAATTTGATAATAATAAAAATTAATTTGATATTTATTCGATAAAGTTGAATATAAATTTGACAAATTAAATATTAATTTTTGGTAAAATTATATATTAATTTATAATTTAAGGTTTATTTCATGTTGAATATTAGTTAGTGTTTATAGTCAATGTGCTATTTTTTATTTACATTAAGTGTTATTTACATATTATATGTTGTCAGATATATAAAAAATTTGAATTAGTTTCATGGAATAAATAATTGTATAACATGTAATTTTATTTTTATGGAGTAAATAATAACAAAAATAACACAAGGCAAAAAAAAAATAGTATGTTAGAGAGAGAAAGAGAAAGAGAGTTATATAAGAAATATGAGTCTTAGAGTTATAAAAGAAATAAAAGTTCAATTAGGAGTATTGGATCAAAACGATCTGAGCCGCGAAAAGCTCAACACAAACAATCTAACTACTTTATTATATAAATATACATTAAGCATTGATTTTACTGTAATTTCTAATATTTATTATTTATTATCAAGTTTATATTTTAAGTCTAAATAATTTTTTTTTTATTAATTTATGGGTCAAATCCGCAGCCAACTCTCCAAAATATTTGAAGTAGGGTTAAATGTCACTTTTACCCTAAAAACTTCTAAAAATCTTAAATTTCTCTCCGAAACCTAAAGTAAGGTAAAATGGTACCCCGACATTTTTATTTTCTTAAGAAATTTGTAACTTTTGGTTGTCAGATTGCACGCTGATTTACTTCACATGCACCCCTAGGCCTAATCGGCACATTTTCTGGAATTGCTGCCACTGCCAGGCTGCCGATCAATCATATGATTTGACAGCTGAACATCTTGAATGGCACAGCGGGCTTTTGTTCTTTGATTTTGAGTTCTGTTCTCCCAGTAATTTCTCAGCTACCAAACACATCCGAGAAAAATTTTAAGTCGGAAGCTAAAAGCAGAAAATTCTTCGTCGTATAACAAGCTTCATGTCTATTCCATCAGAATTACCCGCTGATGAAGACGAAGAAGAACAAGTGGAAGCACAAGAACATCAGCCACCACCAGCCCATCACCCTTCTGCTCCCTCCGATGAGGTAACAAATATACACACCGTTATGTGTTCAAATATTTATAGGAATTTTTATTCAATATCTGCTGAATTCCTATAGTTTTTACCAAGTACCTGAAACCATAGAAGGTATGGGTTCTGTTTTCTACCTGGGACATTGCTTTGCCATCGAACTGTTTGATACAAGTCCAAGGTAAAAATCTATGATCGAAGTTTACCATCCTATTTTGTGGCCTGACCCCTTTGTCAGAGACAACAGGTTGTATCTACCTAAAATGGGCTTTTGTCGGATTATAATGTTGCAGAGGTTCTGTTTGGCAATCCAAAAGCATGGTTGTTCGTGGTTGGGGTTTATCAGAATTTTCTGTTTTTATATACGTTTACCCCATGTATTGTTTTGAAATCTGCTTTAGTAATGAACACTTGTATATGTACGTGAGTTCACTGCTTATCACCCTCTATTTTTCTTTCCCCTATCATGCTCGCGTTGTATAGATTATATTGTATCGATGGTACTATATATGGGTACATGAATCAAAATTACTAGCATCCAAACAACTATATTGCATTTTTTCCTTAGCCCTTTGTCTGATGTATTGGCTATCCACGCGTTTATCTGCTTAGACTGAAGTATTGCATTGGATTATGCAGTTATTTGACATATCAACTACAGTTGATCCTAGTTCTGTAATATCTTTAATACGGAGACTTCTACCACCAGACGTGAGGAATAGTAGCATGTCTTATGGAGTTGATGCTTTTGATGTGTCTATGCAAGGATCAAGAATTGAAAGACTGGAAGGTAGTGTGACCACTCTAACCGAAAATGGAGTTCTGCACTCCCCAAACAACCAATCGGAATTGATGGAGACTGTTGATAATTCTGGTGTATTAGATAGTTCCGAAGAGAGAAATGATTGTTTGAGCCATCAACATAAGCATCAGAGTGGGTTGGTGGGAGAAGCTGCTTGGGAAGAGTATGGATGCATTTTATGGGATCTTGCAGCAAGTAAAACTCATGCCGAGTTGATGGTACTTGGGTTTGCCACTTCTTCTTTCTATTTGCCTTTTGTTCTTGTTGAATCTATTGTACATAGATGTCAGTTCAATAAAGAATTAGTTTATCCAATCTAAAGTGGTTGAGATGGCTCTGATAGTAGTTTTTTTACTCGTGGTATGTGATATGCTGAGGTAAATAATTCTTCTATGACATTGAAGCTAATAGGTTATGCAATCTTACATTCAAGGTGGAAGTTGTGGAATTTACCATTAATCAATCCTTGACCATTTTGACCATTATGGGAAAGATGGTTGATGACATATGACATCTTTTCCTGGCCATTCGCATCATGTTCTTATACTCTTCCCCCCCCCCCCCCCCCGCCCCCCAAAACATACATAATACACAACACACCAAACGAAATAATGTGTGGTTGAAACCAGAGTTGGAATTGAGATTTTATCTTACTTCATTTGTAGAATTCTTTGATTTTATGTATTTCTTTATGCCAAAGTTGACTACTTGTTCATTGTATTTATTAAGCCAGCTGCTAAATTATGTATACAGGTGCAAAACGTTATTCTTGAAGTGCTTTTGGCTAGTCTTATGGCTTCCCAATCTATGCGTGTTACGGTAAGTGGTATTTCACAAGGTGGTCTTGAAAACAGTTGAGTCACTGAAGTGGATGTTTTAAGACCTCTGCTTATCTTTTCAGGAGATTGGCCTTGGAATCCTTGGAAACCTTGCTTGCCATGAAGTTTCCCGGAAACAGATAGTCTCTATAGATGGATTGGTTGAAACAATCGTGGATCAGTTGTTTTTGGTCGATACCCCATGCCTCTGTGAAGCTTTCCGGTAATGTATAGCTACATAACTGCAAGTCAAAAATAACCATTGGATTTTGTTAGGTTTCAGTGATGTAACTTCTTCCCACCTTTAATATTGACTCATACATGTTATCCAAAATAAGTTCACAGGTTTGGAGCTTTACTGTCTGAAAGATCTGTTGTGTTGGAGTTCCACCCTTTCCCATTTTGTGCACCATTAATCTGGGACTTAGATTTACTGTAATTATGCCTTCCGTAGTTTATTGTTTACTTGTCATTTTTTTGTGGCTATTGATTTGTCGGGTGTTTCTTTTTGTGTCCTTTTAAAAAATTCCTCTGGTGGGGGTAATTTCTGCTTGTCATTTCCCTGATTGCCCATTTAGATACTGTACATAGATGTTATTGTAGAATGTTACTTATTTATTTCCTGCTTTTCATTTCCTTGAGTGAGCTGCACAATATTGAGTTGGAAAAGGAGTACAACCCTAGTAAGTTTTTCTTCTGTACTTGTGTGTAATATAAGTGAATCTATACTACTCACTTATGTAGTTCACACTTAAATCAGTGTTCTTCCATATTTGACATGGTTGTTAAATAAGTATATAACCTCTCTCTTGTGCAATAAAATTTTATTAGATTGAGCATTTTGATGCAGGTTGTTAACTTTGTGTCTTCAAGGTAGTGAAGGTATTACGTGGGCTGAAGCATTGCAGACAGAGCATATTCTATGCCGTATTCTATGGATTGCAGAAAACACCTTGAATCTGCAACTGATAGAAAAGGTAGTAAATGATATCTGGCCTCATTTTCTTTTTTGGTGATTTGCTAATTATGAGTGTTTCAGTGTCTAATGGTGTTATACAAAAACTTTTAAGCATCAATAAGGTTCCTTAAGATTTCTCAATTTTTATAGGTAGCACAGCAGCACTTCTGATATATACTTCTTTTGATGGATTTAATTATATATTTTTGGAGTGCACCACGCGGAAAGAAACTTCTTCAAGATTAATTTCAGCATATCCTTAATCGAGGTTGAAGACTGATGCTTTGGACTTTCAAATCAGAATTACCCTATGTTTCTCGTAGTTTTCACTCATTTGCTTAAACTCTAATCTGTCCAATTATCATCTTTTAAATTGCTCTTTAAATCCTTTGGAGGGTCTGTTTGTGTGTATTATATTGGAAAGTCAATAATGTTGTAAAATGTGTGATTTCAAACTACGGATCCAGGGTATAAGATGAGACTTTCCTATGGAAACATTGTCTTTTTCTTCTTTTCTTCTTGTTCCTTTTTTCAGTAGATATAAGATGAAAATTAGTTATGATTTCTTGGTGTATTTATATCTGTACTTGTTAACTTCAATCCGATTAAACTGTTATATTATATTTAGGTTCTTCAATCTGCCTAAACTAATATAATCCTATGACTATTATTGTTAAGATTATTGATCATTGTTGTCATCAATATCTAAAATAAACGTTTTTTTTTATGCAGAGTGTTGGTTTACTGTTAGCCATCTTACAACATCAGCAGGAAGTAACCACTGTCCTTTTACCACCTTTGATGAAGTTGGGTCTTCCAAGTCTTTTAATTAACCTCTTGGCTTTGGAGATGAGTAAATTAACCGGTGAACGAGAACCTGAAAGGTATGACTATTATTTTTGGTTTGACTTTAAAGGTTGCACTCTCACCTAGGGAAGCTACGAAGTTACTATAAATCACTAAACCCTTGACGACTAACGATCTGGATATAACAATCCCAAACCCCTTCATGGGCCCTCCCGGGGGTTGCAATCCAGATCACTTTAAATATCTGATCCCGAATTGTCATACTAACCCTAAATCGATTCAATTTGGAACATTTATCAGAAATGTAAAATAACTATTAATTGACTGTGTACGGATGCATAATTATCTATGATTCTAGATAATAAGAAATCAAACACAATTGTAAGATAAATAGTAAATGACTATTGTTCATGGATGTACTATTATATATAATACTAGTTAATGTCCGTATCTGAAGGCACTATGTAAAAATTTAAACCCACTTTCTTAAAAAAATTTGCCAAAATTTGTTCTAAAAATAGCACCCCAAAAGATATCAACATGTGTATACAATTTTCATAATCTTGTTATGAAAGACAAATAACAACTAGTGTTCAGGGGTCAAGGAGTTGAATGCCTTCACAGTTGCTGATTTTCCAGTGATCGCAGCAGCTTGAGCGCCTTCACAGGAAACCATAACCCAAACCCTCTCCCTAAGCTACCACCTTCTGGTAAGCTAGATTCACACTGGCGGTAAACCAACACGACAAAACATCAATAATCCACATATGTCAAAACGTAATAAATATTCGATTTCAAATCATCACACACAAATGCACTTCATAAAGTTAATAACAAACCAAGATATATCCAAATCAAACATTTGATAAACAAATTTAAAAAAAATTAGAAAAATCAATTAACAATATTAACAGACTTGTTTTAACTTTTAATTATAAGAAATGTTACCGATATATAAAATACAACATTTTAGCAATTCAAAAAATATTCAGCTCAAGATCTTTTCAGTTGAGAAGTTGTTCTGAGGCATTGCCAACGTATGCTAGATCAAGTAGCCAATGTCCCCTTTTTGCCACCGTATAATGCTCTTGGTTGATAAACTCTTATAACCTTCAATATACATGTATCCACATTTTAATCAAGTAGTATTTTAAACCCTTAAAGCTTAGCACCAAAAGAAATTGAACTATGAAAATCAAGTACTAAAAGTGTGCACATTATTCATTCAATTTGCCGTGTGTGTCTTGAGAGAGAAGGGGGTAAATTTGTCAAATCAGAGGCTCCTTAGAAATCTGAAAAAAAAATTCGACCATGTGATCGATGTTGTTTGTGGAAGGAGGAGGCCTTTTTTGGGTATGGCGTTGGTTGTTCTAGTTTGGGGAAAGAAATTTTTTTCGAGATTGTTGTATGTGTTGTGTGTTGTGCTTTATGTGTGTGCATGCATCAGTGTGATGTGTGTATGTGTGAGAGAGAGAGAGAGATGAAGAAAAAGGAAGGGAAAGATTACTTACACGGTGGTGGCTGTGGTGTAGTGCTGGTGGATGGATCCATGGCATAGAGAAAGAGAGGTCTTTGGTGAAGTGAGAAAGAGAGAGTAAGGGGGTTTGTTTGGTTTTTGACATTGGGATAGTGCCCATAAGGGATAATTGGGGGATTTGAAGTTTTAAATTTTGGGCAGGAGTTTTTCTATTTTTGGATAAATTGGGTGTCATAGGATCAAGTTAGAGGATTCAAAAAGGGTTCTGTTTTATTAGTATAGATATAATATTGTATAACTAGTTATTGTTTGTGCCTGAAGGTACAGAGTAAAAAAAAATAATAAACAATAAACATATTTATATTCATATCCAAAATTAAATCACAAACATAAATGAGAGATAAATGAATTTAAGTATTGGTTGCAGTGGGGGGTGAGAGGTGGTGGGCGATAGGAGACGGTGATGGTTATGGTGGGTGGCAATGACCGTGGTGGCGGCAGTGATGGTGACAACGGTGGCAGCGACGGTGGTGGTGGTGGCTGTAGCAGTGGCGGTGACAGTGGTAGAGGTAGTGGTGGTGATAGCAGTAATGGTGGGGCGGTTTCAAACACTATTTTTTTTTTTAAAAGTATTTATGAGAAATAATTTTTAAAAGTATTTTTAAAAAGTCACTCCAAAAACACCCTTGGAGGCCTATTTTTTCTATTAAATTTAAGGTATTAATATTAGCCATTAGATTAACTTTAAAATAAAATTTAAAGCGATCTCAACCACAAATAGCAAAAGTTATTTTGTTTATCTTTCGAGATTTGAATTGTAAGCTACTTTATTATATAGATAGTGAAATAGATATTGATAAAGGTTACAAGATGAATTGCTACAAAAAATAACGTAGCGGGCAAGTTTACCTCCCTTGCACCACATACCGCACTACATACCTAAGAAAGTATTGTAACGTGTATTAAATATTTGTATCATATACCAAATCGACCCACGATCAAGATATATTAAGCTGCTCATATTTGATGACTTGACATTGTAAAAAGGTATAGTGTGAAGTTCATAATGTGATGTACAGGGGACCACTGCCTTCATCATTATCTCATTTTTTTGGGGGTTTTTTTGGTGTTATGGCGGCCTCCTGCTGGAGACGGTGGGTGGGTGTTCATTTCTTGTTATGAATATTGGTATTACGTTACAGAGTGGAAGCAGAGTTTTTGCCTTTCCCTCCGTCCCACTATTCTGATTCAGCGGTACTTCTGACACAGCATGTGGCTTATTGATTCCCTTTTGGTTTAAGTCTTAATCCAAAAATGAAACTCAGGTTGACATGTATATGTGTCTATAGTGTAACAATTATGCAAGTATATTTTTTCCTTTGCCATTTTTAATACTTTAATGCACATGTTTTAGGACCCAATTTTTATGTGGACAATAGCAAAATGCTACAAATGTAAGCAATATCAAATGTTTCATTTCAGTGTTTATTATCAAAGATGGCCAAAAAAATTTCTTGCACCAGCTGGCTGATTTTTTTTGTTTTCTAAACAGCTGTATAGAATGTTTCATCCATTTATACTTGCATTTGAATTGTTGCCCAATAAACTAAATTGTAAGAGCTGCAGTTAACGCTGTTCTCTTTCAAATCTAACGTAAAATCTTCTTTGCTAGTGTTATTTTTTTGTCCTCAGGAATTCTCATTTTTCCTCTTTGTTTCACTTTGAAATTTCTCATAATCTCAATGCATTTCACAAGGAAATGATTTCTTAAAAAAGAAAGCATGTTGTATGCCACATTTTATATGTTGGAGTTCAATCTGGCACGTGATTCTTAATGTCGTATCATTTTGACCCCCTATTAGCAACTTGAAAAGCGGTATTGAGTCTTTTAGTTAACATCATATTACTCATGCTGCTGCACTCTTCTAAATTGTAATTGTGGATGATAAGATATGCTGCAGCCACTGGCAAGAAGTTTCTTTGTTTTTGAGAATGTTTCAGAAATAATATTTGGAAACATTAGTTGAATGGCGCTGAGTATTTCTTAAATGAGCTAATAACCACCTTCTGTACTAGTAATTTAATTTATAAGAGTTCAGTCTCCAGGTTTGTTTGCTTGTGGATTTTAGGCTGCTTAATCATGTTCTTTTACACCAAGAAGATCAGGACCTGTATTCTATGATATTGTTATTTAATATCTGCCACGATGCTGTTATGTCAAGGGTCAGACAACTCACTTAAATCAATAATATATTTGTGATCAAATAAATGGTCATAATTTTCCTGTCCCATTTTCTACTACATCCTCTTTCAGGTACTCTGTTCTTGATTTGATTCTTCAGACTATTGAAGCTCTTAATGTCAGTGATAATTATTCACAAGAAATCTGTTTGAATATGGAACTATTTCGATTACTGAATGACTTAATCAAACTTCCTGACAAAATTGAGGTACGTTGCAGCCTACTAATTACCTTAAATTTAGTCAAATACATAACATATGTATTTGTATAAATTTGTGCTTGTATGTATGCACGTAGTGATGTATAGCTGCCTGTGTGGGTATGTCTGCACACTCATGTGAATTTATTCCCTTTTATGAATCCATGCTGGTGTGATTTTGGACCCAGTGTTTAAGGTCAATTATCTGCCATTTTCGCTGAATCTTCAAGCGAGTAACACCATAAATTGGATAATATATGCCTAGCTTTAAACTATAAATCCTTTTGGGTGCTTAATTAAATAAATGGATGTGAGCACTGAGCAGTGATAAGTTGATTTGTTTATTACACGCTTTGCCGAGGGATAACTAGATATGTTGCTGTAACTGAAAGTGAAGCGATGAGTTTGAAAATGAAAAAGAAAAACAGAAAATGAAAGAAACGAGCCAAGAGAAAAAAAAAATTGAACTTCTATGCAGAGGATGAGCATTTAAACAATTGAGGTCATCATGATGCAAAAAGGCACCAGGGAATGATGTCAAATGAAAATACTCTGACAACCAGTCAAGAAAACTCTGTAGATTCATGTTCAAGTTTTCTCTATTATTTCATTGACTGACATTTGGTTCTCTCCTTTGATTAAACTATGGGTATTTTGGTCTAAACACTTAGACAATGAATTCTTTTTCTGCAGGTTGCCGACTCTTGTGTTACTGCTGCAGTTTTAATAGCAAATATTTTGATTGATGCAGCTGATCTCGATTTAGAGATATCACAGGGTAAAACTGTTAAGACTCTTGTGAGCAAATTTTCTTGCTACATCCACTCAGATTCATCATCATCAAACTTATTTGAGAATAAATAGTGACACTTTGGATCCACCCAGATTTGTCTTTCTTACAGGGTATACTTGACATATTTCCTTTTGCTTCGGATGATAAAGAGGCACAAAGTGCACTTTGGAGCATTCTTTCAAGACTATTGGTTCAAGTTCAAGAACGTGAGATGAGCCCATCAAGTCTGCATCAGTATGTTTCTATTCTTGTAAACAAATCAGAGATGATCGAAGAACTCCTCTTTGACCAGATAGATGACTTCAATGAAGAAGATGAGATCTCCAATACTTCTGGTGCAAAAGCAACTGCTAGAGCTACTGCTGTATCCTTTCATGTTGTTTGATTTTGCCAAATGAAAACGTCAGTAAATATATTGCGGTTTCTACTTAGCAACTGTCTTGTGTTTATTACTACGCTATGGCATTCACTCTTTCTTCGGTCTGCCTGTTCTCTTTAACTTTTGTCACAGCTGAACAGCATTTTCAGCATCCTAAGTGAATGGACATCCTTGGAGGAACATGTCAAGGAAAGGTTTCCTGCAGGGGAAAATCATTTAAGTGAAGGAGATGTTGATAGATTGTTGAATTGCTGCAGTAAATACACTTTTAAGTAAAATGATTTCCTCAAAGCTACCAGTATTGTTGACCCGCAGCTTACTTACCTAAGAAAAAAAAGGCAGGATTTGATATATAAACTAAGCTCGCAGAATCTAAAGTGGAGTCTCGCTACAAGTCAATCTACATATGGAAAGGCCAATGGATAAAGCCTTGCTTGCTCTTTCTTATACTGTTATTCCAACCTGTTGTAATGTTTAAATGGTTTTCCAAGCCTGTCTTGTTATCTGATATGTCCACAGCAAATATAACAGTTCAGTTACCAAGTTAACACAGTTCAAAAAAAAAAAAAAAAAAATTCCAAGTTATTATTAGTGACCTCGAGGTCATGTGTTATATCATGGGGTTGGCCGTGAAACTCCTCTAACCAAGAGAATTTAATAGGTTTAACTGCCTGTGTTTTATTTATTGATTTTTCGAAGCAGTAATTATTGGTAGAAACGAACTTAACAGTGAACGCTAGAGGTTAAAGCTCCTATCAAACCCCCCCCCCCCCCCCCCACCCAAAAAAAAAAAAAAAAAAAAACAAATCTGCTCATCCTTGTAACCAAGAGTTGATTTCTCACATGCAACACCCTCACTCAGCCTTACCCGTCTTTGCTTCGGTATTAGGCCGTTCGGACCGCCATGCCTGTTGGTCTCTCTCTCTCTCTTTCCAAATTGTACCTAGGACACTTGAGTATGCTGCTCTTTCCGGTATGGTTGTGGTGATCGACCATGCAATATTATAATCTTCGGGTCAAATGGCCAATCACAGGCGAACGTTAATTCTCTCAGACATTCGTAGGATGTCCGAATGGATTTTATCACCTCCCAAATCTGCACCAGTGGCTCCGGCAGCAACTCGCAATACATCTTCAATCAATGCAACATTTCCCATGATGTCAACATGAGCACCGCTCTCAAGACCTCTCCCCTCAAGCAGGCTCGCAGGTGGCTTGTGCCTGTACTCCCTTACGTACGTAGCAATGCCAGACGGATTGAATCGGGTTCTTCCTCTCCAGCCTTTGGCACACATGAACCCAGCACTCAGAACAGGCACACTCTCATCACCATCCACAAAGTACACCCCACCCTTCAAGCAGCCACTATCACTTCCATCGGCTGAGCTATCGATTTGGAAAGGGATACTCTTGCACCTATAGGAAGGTGACAGCTTATACACGTATGATCTCTCGGTGGGAATTCCAACTCCATATGAACAGTAAATCTCCATGTCCGGAGCATCAGGCAACCTGAAAAAACGATACATAATTATTACTCGATTAAACCCACCAAGCAAAAAAAAGTAGATGCACTATAGTTCATGATTGACAATGATTTGACAAGGTACAACATTTGGGGTCTGAGAATTTCTTGGCAAGGACATTTATACTTACTTGGTCTCAAGTGGATTTGACCAGTACTTATAATGGTCATACTTTGGATCATCTAGATTCTCGGCTATCCCATGGGAGAAGTGAGCCTCAGCCCTTTGCATCATTTTCGGCGCCACAAAGCGGAGAAGATCTATTAGACTGCTTACCGTATAGGCTTTGTTTTCTGCAACTTTTCGAATGCTTTCCCGGCTCATCTCATCATATTCTGTCCGAATCTCTCCACATGATGCACTAGAATTGGTGGCAGCACTTGTTTGCGAAAATTCCTAGGGGGATAATTATTCGATGTCCATAAATAAAAGAAAAGGAAAGAACATAAAGCATAAAGGGCGTCACACTATCATTTTTGATATCGTGAAAGAGCATTTCAGATGTGCAATAGGGAGTGGCGATCATTGAATTTAATGAATAAAGAGAAGTACGGATTTAAAAACATAATCTTTTTTCCCTTTAAGTTGGCAACAGATACATTAAAAATATAACCTATTTTAGGTATATGAAGCAAAAAAAAGGATCTGTTGGAAACCATTACTCAAGCTTATAGTCTAGAGTTAGTAACATAGGAATAAAATGCTTCCGTTCTATTACTGTAAAACATTTTTTGAATTTAAGGGATGAAAAAACTGTTTTCCAAGCCAAATTTATAGTTGACTCTAAGTCGCGTTGAGGGAATTTGGAGTGCATGCATTATCTTATGATGTGAAATGTGCACATATATGCTTTCAGAAACAACCTCCACTTGGAATAACCTCGACTACAACTTTCAGTTGAAGTTGGCAGTATTATTTATGCTTTCTACATGTTTCAGTATGTGTTTTTAACAATGCACTGTAAAAGAAGCATGCACAAGCTGTTTCAGAAGTCAACCAGAAAAGTAAAGCTTTTGGGGTTCAAGTAAGAAGCGGTGATGAGTGTAACTTAGATGTCACATGGAGATTAGATCAGTTGATTATATTTTGTCATCTACTTGACACTGGTGGTATAACAAGGTCAACTACCAAAATCATATGTTCTCTACATGAACGGAGAGGAAAATATAGATAGAAATGTGATTCTGAGGATACAAATTGAGATAAATCCCGTATTAAACACAATTGACTGCTCCAATAGCATTAGGACTTTAAAAGACCCACATACGGAGGCACAATAGTAAAAAATTGGAACCCACAAGATAATATAAGCAAAGCGATTACAAGTTAGAGATTCAGCAGTACAATTCTATCACATTTGCCCCACTTCATGAATTAGGCTCTTTGGAAGTGCATTTTTTGGTCTCAACTCAGTTCAATAAATGAAACAAGTTAAATAGAAAGACAAGGTAAACAATTATTACCTTTGAATGAATAACAGGGAGCCGTGAAGAGGGTAACTCTGATGCTGCCTTACCAAAAGATACTATCCTTCCGTATCTTGTTGGCTCTTCAACCTGGAAACCTATCTTTCTGTCACTATTGTTGCTATTATTTTCCCTTTGAGAGGGTTGCAAGTGTCTTTTCTTTGCTGAATTACATTTATACCCTTCTTCCGGAGACCAATCCAGGTTACCCCAAATGGTCTCTCCTCCTTTTGGCATCAAAGAAATGATGGAATCCCAGGTTCTTGATACCCGCATAACATGTTCCAGAGTTTGAAGCCCAAGAATATCAGAATCTAAAAGACCAGGAGCCATAGCTCTGCAAGATAAAATAAAGAAGCTGACTCAATCACACAGTATATCAACACAGAGGATATAAGCTCTCCTTTTATTTTAATTCATTTTCTTTCTTTCTCTTTTCTTTGGGTTCATTTTATTGATTAATCCAAGAAGCTTGTGCAATTGGTGTGGCTTTTAGACATCACATGGAAATGGATCTTTTCAACTTCTCTCATACGGCAAGTAAAATGGATCTATCCTATTTTCATAGTCCCAATTGAGAGACTATTCACAGAAATATGTTTCATAATTTCGTAAAATTAAGCCATCTAGATTCTTCAGCAATCTTTTTCTGAAGAGCGAAGATTGGTCCAAAATGCTTGTTTGGGGCCCCCGATGCGTACTGGCTGCACCTAATGGTTTCTTACAGAACAATATAGAAAATGAAAACAAAAAAAATACAGATGACTGCTTCAAATAACATAGGAAACAAAAAGTAATCATTTCATTTCCTTGCCATCAGGAGACCTCCTCGAAGATTTAACTATGTAATCTTTTCATCAATTTTTTAAACATCACAAAATAAGTACACAGGTAAAAAAAATTCAGTGGATTAAATGGTGATCTCTGACCCACGAGTGCAAATTCCAATAGCATAATGCAACTCTATTGAGGAATGAATTACAAAGACTAACCTGATAAACGCAACGTCTTTGCTCTCAGCTGACAACATATTACCAACTGCCTTCGGCACACCAAGAAATGCAGGACCAATGTTCATGACTGCTTTGATGTGCTTGGCACACCAACCAGGACCACCACCACCACCTCCCATAGGAGGCGGTGATTCGACCCATTTAAGGAAGTGGAGGAAATATATAACCCCCATGGAATGAGGCACCACCACCACTTTCCTATAGCCATTTGTTACATACATAAGCTCAATTTTGCTCTTCAATCTACTAAGAGCTTGGTCCCTGATCTGCTCATCTCCAATTGGAAATAAGTTAAAGATAAGTCAATTCAGTTCTAGTTGTTTATGTGTAAAATGAGGTTTATAATTTGAGTGGTGACAGAGAAGCTTTAGGAGTATGCTTGTGTAGAGCAAGAAAAGTTGACTATTATGGAATTTTTTTTGTCTTTAGGCTTTAGACACCAATGAGATTGAAATGCATCCATCTCGTTATCCACAGCATTCAAAACAACACATTGCAACTCTAAAATGTTTTTACACAAGAGCAAAAACTTGAGCACATACACACACGAGCAGATATCACAGATTTGATCATACAGTTCTAGAATGATGTATATCACACAACCAAAAATGATCCATTTAATGATAGAGAAAATAACACAGATCCAGATCCTCTCTGTGACACTCTCACTCCATTTTGCCTCACTGATAGATCATCAATCGTGTATTTGTAAGGACTAAGGAGCCTAATTATAGATACCGGGTTCTAGTTCATTTTAGGAGATCATCCATTTAGTGAAATCGAGGTAAAATGTAACGGATGAAATCTCACTCCAAATAATACGCCCTAATAATTTGTAGTAAACGACAAAATCAAAGTTTCACATCTATTTGAATATAATGCCATATCATGTGCTGCTCAAATGCCCTTAGAATGCTTCTCAGGATTAGTTATTGGTAACGCTTAAGGAATTACATTTATTACCAAAACATGGAAGTTACCAATAGCTACAACCATCAATTCAAAGAAATTAATACTGCCATATCAAATCTGTCAAAAAGACAAAAGACAATGTCTGTCATGTTCTGTAAAATGTTAAATTGATTATAAGAGTAGCTGAGGAAGAACTGTTACACCTCTGTATTCTGGAAAGAGAGCCTCCAATCATAAGCAGCCATATACATATTCTTTCCCTCATAGCCGATTCGCGCCAAATTCTCAATCAGAACAGCCCAAACAAAATAACCAGGAGCAAAATAGTCAGCAGCAACCAGTCCAGGAACTGCACGGACTCGTATGCCAGGAGGGTCGAGCCCCGTCTCATTGTTCAAAGACAGGTGCTCTAACCAACACAAAGGCCTATATCACAACATAAGTCTCAATCAGCCATCTTAATTCAAACAAGGAACAAAATTTCCGCCAAAATGTCTGAAGCATAACGATTCAACATCAAAGTTCCAGTGTTGCAGGTGTTTCGAGGCTTGTGGTATGTTTTGGAAATAAATTTTTAACATTTTTATCTGTTTTCATTCAGGTTTTGATCCTTTAATTCAGATACATATAAATTTTGAAATTGGAAAAAAATGAAATCCAATCATGCAACACAAACCTCTTGAAAATTTCAGTAAAGCTACCGCCCCAAAGCCGCTTGCGAAACAGACCCTCAGCACAGGGCCTGCCTTCCCAGAGCTCAAGGCCCCCAGTGACAATGCCAGGCACCAAAACAACCGGATGGAGAGCAGTCAATCCTTCACGGCTAAGCCTGGCCCCAGGTGATTCTGGCACTTTAAGTCCAGGCAAATTGGCAGGCAAACAATGGTACATAAACAATAGAAGCCACCAAGTAGTGCACATATACCCAATGGTCAAACAACAGTAATCTATACACCTCCATTCCTTAGGCTGCCTCTTGTTCTGTCTCCTTTTTGACTTGTCTAACACTTTCTCAACAGTGGAATCCGCACCCTCATCGTTTCTATCAGATTTTGGGCTTTCAAATGATTGTTTCTCATCAATTTTTGGGGTTTCATATGATTCAAAACCCAAAGAAGAACACTTCACAGGTTCTAGATAGCATAATTTGCGAAATCGAAGAATCATAGCCATTGCATGCAGAGTTAACTTAAAGATTCACAACAATTAACAACAATAGACATTACCCATCAATAACAAGGGCAAATTGATACATGAAGAGTGCCAATTTAGTTAAGATTCTTCCCTGATTACCCGAAGAGACTGAGGAATAAAAAAGTTACGTCAATGCTTCCCAATGCACAACCACAATAACCCATTAATGGGAAATAAAAGGATACCAGATAGAGAGTACCAAATTGACTTGAATTCCACCAAAATGAACGAAAACAAGAACAACCCATAAAGGAATCAAGAGAGGCAGAGTGATAGGGTGATCTAGAGGGTGGTGTGAAATAGGGCAGAATGAGGTCATGGGCTAGTGAGAGGCGTTAAAGACTGGAAACCCACGTGGTGAAGAGGGAGATGATGTGTGGTACACCAAAAACAAACACATGCTAACTATAAAGGACAAGAAAAGTAGAACTTAGCCTCTTCTAGAGCCATACTGAGAAGGGTTGTGATGGGATGAAACCAAGGGGCGCAAAAGCATATGCCTAACAACACAGTCTCTCTCCAAGACACTTGTCTTGGCGTTTACATGTAAAGCCCTCTCTGCTGTCAACATTTCTTTGTGAGTTTGCATTTTATTGCCTGTTTCACGTGGACTCTCTACAACCCTTCTCTCTCTCTCACACACACACACACATATTAATCTTTTCCTGAGCCTGAGAGCGAGAGAAAGGGTGCTCAGAGGAATCCGGTGTGGATGGAAATGGACAACCTTTATGGGTTTTGTCTGAAATGGTAAATCCCGAGTAATGGAGCTGAGAGAGCTCTGGATGGTTACTGTTTAGAGAAAGTGAAGGGGGAGAGAGAGAGAGAGAGAGTGAGTGATTGTGTGTGTATAGAGACTAGAGAGTGAATCCAAAGAACACCCTCAATCATCGGAAAAAAACCACACACCCCGAAAAACACACTTACCCAAATCGTCAACGGTGATGGTGGACCTGATTGCCACTTGAGTGCACTACAAAGAACGACAAACAAGATTGACAAATACATATGCATAATATGTATGTATGTGTGTGTATATAATATATATATACACACATGTGTATGAGAGAGAAGTTGGGGGCACAGTGTTTAAGGAGATGGGTACAGTATGATTGTTGATGACATTCTTGTCTTTGTGCTCTTCTCTGGTTTTCAGGTCTGGTGTTGCTGAGAGGCAGCGAAGAATATGCTGAGAGAGAGTGAGAGCGCGGTATGGGCAAAAAAGGAGTTGGATTGTAACGGTCGGAATGGTGTTTGTTACCCCCACACTCTCTCTTTAACCTTTGCCAGAACAGACATTACATTATGCACACAGAGCACATGATGTAAAATTTAATTAGGAGTTTGGTGTTTCTGGTTCTTAATTAGTTCGAATTTTTATGGCATTCTTTTCCAGTTTAAGAGCTTCGGATTCTCAGTTGTCAACAAACAGGTTGAAGACAAGGAAAGGGCATGAGTAGACGGTAAGTAAGCAGTCCTTAAAATTTGACAATTTAATGTTAAAAATTTTCAATAAATTTGCGTAACTGTCAAATTTTAATTGACTAATTATTTATAGGTTGTCAATAAAAAATTTATTCTCCTTTGGTTTTTTCTTCTTTTAGCCATAAGGCTATGGTTGTGGAGTTACCTCGTCTATTGATTTTTATCTGAATTATTAAAAAATAAAAATAAAAACTTCATACATGATACCTTTCTATTAGATATTCAATACTTTTTTACTGAACAAAAATTAAAATACATATTAAAAACTAGTATTTTGATACAATAACCTTATCATTTTTCTTAAGACAAACGGAGAATTATCTTAACATCCTCTGAATTTGTACTTTTAAAATAATTTTACGTGATGTTATTATTTAATAATAAATTTATATATAAACATGGTGAACTTCATTTTAATGATTATTAAATGACATTATTAAGATTTGATTTGTCGGAAGATCTACACATCATAAACATATCCAACAAATTCAATTTAATATCGGACCTCAAACTATATTCAATTGAAGGTCCAAATTTCATTGGTCTGTATTATATCGAATTAGATTGTCCAACCTACGAATTGGGACCCAGTAATTTTTGGGGCCTGCCCCCAGTCGGGACAGTTGCTTTTATACTAAAAATTATTGTTTTATTTATTTGATATGTATGTGTAATCAATTTTCTTAATTACAAAAATAAATATAGGTATGAAACTATTTAAAAAACATGAGAAAATAAAAATAATAGCCCAAGGACTGGAGTAAATATTGAATAAAACATCGATAATATGTCAGTAATGTTAACGTGCTATCACCAATTAATAATAAAATATCAAGTGGGTAAAATGAACTTTACTTACATAGAAAAAGAGTGAGTAGTTATTTGTTTACATTGAATGTTGGTTATCAATTTTTGTAAGGTTTATTTGCTTATTTGTTTTGATACTATTGATTGATAATATCATATCAGCATTTTCAAATAGTATTATTCTTATAATGAATATTTTTTCCAAGAACTGGGCTTAATTGGTACACAACGCAATACACCCAACTTTATACGCGAGAAATTATGTTTAATTACAATACTAAAATATCACTTTTTGATATTGTATCCTAATTTTTCATCTAATAAAAACATGCAGAGTTTGTTGGTTTTCAAATGCTTTATTTTTTATCGTCGATGGTTGCATATCATCCAAATTAAAATCAACGATCCAAATCAAATTTTTGCACGATACCTCTTCGTTACCGTAATTTTATCTATATAAAATTTGGGTCATATACCTAATTATGGGTCAAATTATGGTGCCAAAAAATTATTTTTAGACACAATACGGCCTATTTTCTACCAATCAAAAAGTGACACGCATATTGGTGATTATTTCGCTTTAATTTATCATTTTCAAGTTTTTTTTTTAACAGGTCATTTTAAAGATCAATAGTCATAAAGAAACTAACACAACATCCAGCACTAGTGGTAGAGCTAATAATATAATTTAGGATGGGCACAATTTAATTAAAATTATTATTTTGTCCTCTAATAGATAAAAATAATGTGATATATTTATACTAGTTGTTGCATGTGCCTGAAGGCACAGAGTAATAAAAAATAATAAACAATAAATATATTTGTATGCATATCCAAAATTAAATTACAAACATAAAGAAGAGATAAATGAATTTAAAAATCAATATTTATAGTGGGGGGTGAGAGGTGGTGGGCAGTAGTAATGATGGTAGGAAACGGTAATGGTTGTGGTGGGTGACAATAACCGTGGTGGCAACAACAATAGCGATAGTTGTGGCAGCAACAATAGTGGCGGTGGCGATGGTGGGCGTGGTGGTGGTGGCGGCGACAGTTGTAGTGGGGGGTGGGGGTGACGATGGCGAGGGGTAGTGGGGGCGACAGTGACGATAATGGTGGTGGTGGTGGGTAACGATGGCAGTGGCCATAGGGGTGGGGGGTGGTGGCTGTAGTGGTGGTGACGACAACAATGGTGGTGATGGGTAGTAGGGGTGGTGGTGACGATGACGATAATGGAGGCAGTAGGGACGGTGGAGGCGGCGGCGGCGGCGGTGGTGGCAACGACAATGGTAGGGCTAGTGGTGGCAACGACGACGACGATGATGATGGTGGTGGCAGCGATGGTGATGGTAGAGGTAGTGGTGGCGACGACGGTGGTGGTGGCGGTAGCAGTGGTGGTGGTAAAGATAGTGGTGGGGCGATTTCGAACACTAATTTTTTTTAAAGTATTTATGATAAATAATTTTAAAAATACTTTTAAAAAGTCACTTCAAACACACCTTTAGGGTCCTATTTTTCCTATTAAATTTAGAATTTTAATATTAACTGTTAGATTAACTTTAAAGTAAAATTTAAAATAGCAAAAGTCATTTTATTTATTTGTTGAGATTTGAATTGTTAGTTATTTTATTATATAGATTTTTTGCATCATATTTAATACTTAACAAGCCAAAAAATTACAATAAAACCTTATATCAAACATGTAATTTTAAAAAATGATGTTTTTTCTAAAAAAAAAAAAAAGACTTACAGTCGAAGAGTCGCAATAGTCCAACAGTCAAAAAGATGCTACTTCTCCTGATTTCCAAGTCTCTAACATGATATTGGTGATATAATAGTGCAGGGGCGGCGTTCCTTTCTTTTGCTTGTTTGTGAAAAGAATATGATAAATGATAGGGTTAATCTCATTTTGTATCTCGAAAGATCGTTCGAATTTCAATTTGTATTCGTAAAGATCAAAAATTTTAATTTACATCTTCAAAGATAGAAATTTGTATCAATGTACACCCCCAAAGATAAAAAATCTCAATTTGTACTCTTAAAGATAGAAATTTGTATCAATGTGCACCTAAAACTAAATTGATAAATTATACCTAGATCCTCTCATGTTTGTCACTTAATCATTTGAACTCCTTCACATTTAGAATATTACCCCTACATCTCATGACGTTTGTATATGTGTAAACATAACCACTTTTCGTTGATATCTGTAAATATAATCGTTAAAAAGTATGATTTTATCCTAATAAAAAATTATAATTTCATATTACCTTTATTTTGTGGATTCGATATACTCTAAAGTTCAAAATCAAGTTTACCATTTGAATGTCTAATAGAATGTAGATATTTATATAAAGGAAAATATGAAAAACATTATATAAATATTTATATTTTATTAGACATTCAAATGGTAAACTTGATTTTGAACTTTGGAGTATATTGGACCCATAAAATAAGGGTAATATGAAATTATAATTTTTTATTAGGATAAAATTATATTTTTTAACGATTATATTAACAGATATCAATGAAAATGGGTTACATGTTGTACGTGCATAAATGTCCTGAGATGTAGGAGTAATATTCTAAATGTAAAGATGTCCAAATGATTAAGTGACAAGCATGAGGGGATATAGGTATAATTTATCAATTTAGTTTTAGGTGCATAATGATACAAATTTATATATTTGAGAGTGTAAATTGAGATTTTTTATCTTTGGGGTACACATTGTTATAAATTTCTATCTTTGAGGGTGTAAATTGAGATTTTTAATTTTTGAGGGTGCACATTGATACAAATTTTTATCTTTGAGGGTGTAAATTGAGATTTTTGATCTTTGGGGGTGCAAATTGAAACAAATTTCTATATTTGAGGGTGTAAATTGAGATTTTTGTTCTTTGAGAGTACAAATTGAGATTCGAACGAACTTTCGGGAGTGTAAAATGAGATTAACCCTAAATGATAAAGGATAAACGAGTAGATTAGGATTTTTGTGACTCAATTTTTTTTTTTAAGTTTATTGACTTTAAGAGATTTATTATGGAATTAGGCCCCCTTATTTTTTATTTTTTATTCCAGTGCCCTGTACCCAATTTCTTTGACCCAATCAATATTTTTTTTTATCTAAATCATTAGGGTGGATCTAATTAAAATTATTCAAAAAAATATATAAAACATATATAAGTAAAAAAAAAATTAGGGTGATCCAAGGCCCCCCTGGCGACTACCTCCCTCCGCCACTGTCTACGACTCAGCAATGTGACGAATGATGAAGTATGAAAATCAACAATTACATTTGGGATCTGTCTAAAGATTATAAACCTTAATGGAGTGATATGTGCTCAATAGTCTACTAGAAAATGGTAGGCGAGTCTGGTGATAATCAGATTTAATCGTCAAATCCACTTAATTTTTGGAACAACACGAACTCAAATTCTGCACAATTATACATGAAACTAATCCGATATAAATCTAATCCTATCTAAAAGGAGTTATGTGTATATTTAAAATAACGTAATTTAGACATGACATGAACTCAACACTAATTCGTTGGAAAGTCTAGTGGGCCTCCATAAGGTTTAGGGCTTTTCACAAGATATACATCCAAGTCCAATTGTGACCAACATATGATTTCCTAATTGGGCCAAACTTTGTTAGAAAGCAATAAATGGGTTCACCAAAACCCAAGTTTTGTGTTGGTTTTGAGAAGCTTGGTCCATTGGGCCAATCCCCATTCGCCAACTCATATCATCTTGGTGCTGAGCAATACCACCCTCAATCCATGGCATAAGAATACCGTTATGCCGTTCAAATCAAAATTTAAATTAGTTTGTGAGTTTCAAAAAATTAGTTTTTTTACTCAATGTGTAGTTGAAATGCACTTGAGATAGAAAATTTTGAGTTTTGATTTGGGCAGCACAGCATTATTAGTAACATAATTATATCATTACTCGTGAAAAGTTGCTGACAAAAATAGATATATACTATTTTTCTTTTTTATTGGGTTGCAAATAAGTATTATTTTTTTTTATCACAATTGTAAATTCATATAAATTCAAGATATACATAATTTAATTTCAATTCGTGTATATGCACAAGTCAAAAAATTAAACTTCTAATCTCGATGGACATTCATTATCTATAACAAATATTCAACATCAACGAATAGACTTTCTATTATCTATAATAAATATTCGAAATAGATGACATGTCTTTGACCCGATCAAAAAAATTACTAATCGAGGCATGCGTAAACTGGTCCGAACATCCCTAACTGATAAATTAAAAAAAAAAAATATTTGATATAGACGAATGAACTTTCTATTGCGCCATCTTTCAAAATATAGACAAAATTTCAAGTCGTATATATGCAAAAATGAAAAACTCAAACAGCAAATCTCGAAGTATTCATGAGACCCTTATATTCCAACTAAACTGTAAATTAAAATATACTATGGTTTATTCTATTTTATTATTCGAAGTATATATTATGGTTTTTTGGCTCATAACTATCACATAAATTTATGATTCACATAATCACATAAAAAATGACAAAATTGAATCAATTATAACTCATGTCTGAAGTTACAATATAACATAAAATTTGAGTGCCTAAAAATCAATCACCACTATATGAAATAATAATTTTTCATTCATTTACTTTCCTTAATTACATAATTTGAAATTATTTCTATCCATTATTTAAAAAAAAATTAAAAAGTTTTCAAAATACACAACCTCAAAAAAAAATCAACACGTGTAAAATATCATATATAAATTGATGATACACAAATTGGCCTCGTGCAAAATCAATAGTCGAATATATGAACATGTGTCATTAATGAGCAATAAATAAGATGATTAATGGCAAAACAGTAAATATAAGTAAACACAAAGATAAATGCTGGTTCGGTCGAGATGACCTACTTTACTCTCGGGAAATGGCAGCGGTGGTCGGAGTTCTTTGTTGATGAATAAAGTAACCGGAAAAATATACTCTGAGGGAGTTACAATGCTTTAGGAGAGAGAAACTCGGTGTGTAAAGAGATATACAGTGGTGTGTCAGATGTAGAGGTGTCTTGAGGTCTCAAGGTGATGTCCCTCCATGTGGAGAGGGCTTATATTATATAAATTTGGTGAGGCGGTGATGTGAGGGAGAAGTCACTATTCTTTTGGTAAGTACAATTAAGGTAGGATTGGATTTCCTTGAGTGCGTATCCTGACAGTTTCTCCCACGTGTTCCTATCTCTCCGGCCTCCTTGGATCTTGAACTCGGTCAGACTGGCAAAGTGGGTCTGGGCCGCCTTTTAGTTGACTTGAGGCCTCTTGATTCATTAGGTTTGGCCCAATTGATTTTGGGCTCATCATTTGCCTCCTATGCCCCAAGCTGTAGTTGTGACAAGAAAAGGGGTTGAGGGCGTAAGAAAGCTCTTCATCTAGGCAAACTGAATACCTTACTCTCCATGGTAGCTCTTTCAGCTTTCCATTCCTGCTGGGTGGATGCATGGGAGATTCTATGGATGGCCCCATGAGCTCCTTGAAGATGAGGCATGAAGGCACCCATGCCCATGGTGACGTCATTATTGTGATCGAGACTAGAGCATCTATGGAGACCAGGCGACCTTCACTGTTGGCAGTGCCAAGAGAAGGAAATGGGGTGCTTGTTGTGGGCCCAAATGCATTGCCCTTGTAAACTTCTTTGCTCCAAGAGATTTATTTTTTTCTGGTGGTCCTTTATCCAAAGCATCATAGATACACTTCCTAATTCTAGCCCCCACATTTGTGGGCAGCTTTCTAACAGGTTCTAGTGACAAAGCCCACTCTAGGACAGTACCATCATTGACTGAGTCTGTTTTATAAGAACCAGTCCCATCAGCTCCATTATCATCTATAATACAAAAGAATACCAACAACTGTAAATTTTTCAATCCAATAAAATCATTACATGCCTTGCATGAAGAGAATAAGCAATGGTGGCCTCCCTATGGGTGACGCCACTAGTGGCCTCTTCTTGGGCGCTGGCCTCCCTTGGGTGATGCAAGTGCTGGGCCCCTTTAGGCGCTGCCCTCCCTTCGGCGACGCTAGTGCTGGTCTCCCCTTCGACGATGCCTGTTGGTCTCCCCTATATTGTGCAGAATTGGCTAATGGACTGGTTGGGTGTCGGTTGGCACGGGCGATGGGCACTGGTCGTCGACTGGAGTATTAGAAAATCATAAAAAAATCAGTAAATCTTTGAACGATTATAACTTTACACACGATTGTCTGTTTGAAGCAAATTTTTTTTTGAATATGGATATTTTTTTAGAGATCTATGACATATAATAAAGAGGGCGAGGTTTGATGCCCCTAGTGCTTCTCAGTCAAGGTTCGATATCCAGGTTGCTTCTTAGGAGATAGGAGCTGGTGGTGCACCCACTCCTTTCCAGTCATTGACTCTTGTGTGTACTAGAGCTAGCCCTTGTACCGTTGTAAAAGTTATGACTCTAGTGCGATCTTCTACGGGTACTATAGCTCCACATAGCTATCTTGGTTCTAGTAGTGGCTCGGTGTCCATACTTCGATGTAACTTCGACCAAGGAGTGACTTTGGAGGTCTGTGACTCTCGGGGATATCAGAAAGGTTGGATCTCAAGGTCCAGAGTGCATTTTCAATACCTTGATGGAGTGATTCTCTTTTTCTTCATGTTCTTCCTTTTGGATTCTTGTCGGTGACTACCGCTTTTCCCTACCTCTTTTCAAGAACAATCAAACTTGGAGAGGCATCCAAAGATCTGGTGAAAGAGAGATGGGCTTTGATAGACTACTGAGAAGCAGTTGAGGCTTGCTTATGAGAGAATCGCACCTCTTGAGACCAAGCTTTTTTGGCATCCCACGAGAGGGTCAAAAAGCTAGAGGCCGAGTTATGTATAACTCAGGAGAGGGCTGCCGTAGCAGAGACTACCTGCGCGAAAGCAAAATCATATCATGGCTGCAGACATCCCATGAAAGGGCCGCAGAAGCTGAGGCCGAGCTACATATAGCTTCGGAACATAGCTGTCGTGGTAGAGGCTTACAAGGAGACTTCGTGCATAAGAGCAAAGTCATATCACAACTGCAAATGTCCCGTGAGAAGGCTGCAGAGCTGAGGTCGAGTTACGTATAGCTTCGAGAGATGGCCGTCGTGGTAGAGACTTACAAAAAGACTACCTGCACGAGAGCAAAGTCAGATCACAGCTGTAGATGTCCCATGAGAGGGCCGTAGAGCTGAGACCGAGCTACGTATAGCTTCGGGAGATGGCTGTCATGACAGAGGCTTGTAAAGAGACTACCTACGTGAGAGTAGAGTTATAGCTGTAAATGTCCCGTGCGAGGGTCGTAGGAGCTGGGACTGAGCTACATATAGTCTTAGGAGATGACTATCATAGCAGAGACTTATAAGGAGACTACCTGTGTGAGAGTAGAGTCATAGTTACAAACGTCCCATGAGAGGGCCGCAAGAGCTGGGGCCGAGCTACATATAGTCTTGGGTGAAAGTTGTCGTAGTAGAGGCTTGTAAAGAGACTACCTGCGCGATAACAGAGTCATAGCTACAAATGTCCCGTGAGAGGGCTGTAGGAGCTAAGACTGAGCTATGTATAGTCTCAGAAGATGGTTGGCGTAACAGAGGCTTGTAAGGAGATTACTTGCGCAAGAGCAAAGTCATAGCTACAAACGTCTTGTAAGAGGGCCGCAGGAGCTGAGGCTGAGCTACGTATAATCTCGGGAGACAGCTGTCGTAGCAGAGACTTGTAAGAAGACTACCTGCGTGAGAGTAGAGTCATAACTACAAACGTCCAGTGAGAGGGCCACAAGAGCTGAGGCCGAACTACATATAGTCTTAAGAGATGGCTATCGTAGCAGAGGCTTGTAAGGAGACTACCTACACGAGAGTAGAGTCATAGCTACAAATTTCCCGTGAGAGGGCCGCAGGAGCTGAGGCCAAGCTACGTATAGTCTCGGGAGATGGTTGTCGTAGCAGAGGTTCATTCCATTGATTTGGAGATGAGGAGGGCGTTGAGGAGCCGGGCGCCTATTGCTGGGTGCATGAGGCTGGGCGTCTGCTGAGAAGGCCACTGTTGATTTTCCTGGCTTTGTCCCTTATGAGGCACCAGCAGTAGTTGGTGACGAGAAGAGCCTTGATTATAGTTGTTGCAGCTCAAGGAGCAGTGACTGAAGTATAATGACTGTTGTCCTTTTGTCTACACCATGTTGTTAAGTCATGTTCTAACTTTCGTAGGCTGTCTTCGAACTTTATGAAATGAAAGCAAGACAGTTATGGGCACCAAAATCTTCGCAGAATTTTATTTCATAAAATAATAAATAACAAGATAAATCAATTGAAATAGTAAAGGATAGATAAAATGAGAGTCACTAGCTTGTACTCTCTATTGATAATAACTTTTTAAGTGTTCGGTGTCCCATAGGTGGGCCAAGACTTTCCTGGCGGAGTTTGAGTCACCTCCTCCTCTTGGCCCTTAGAAGATCGTCTGACTTTCTCTGAGAGGTTGTTGGCGTTCTTTGTCATCCTGGTTCCGACCAGGTTGTGAGGCTTGTTCTCTGCCAGCAACGTACTGCCTCAAGTGGGCACATTATATGAGTTCCTCAATTTGTCTTTTAAGGTCAAAGCAGTCGTCAGTATCATAGTTGTAGTCGCAGTAGAAACAACAATACTTGTTCGGGCTTCTTCAATTCGGGACGATCTTCATCTTCTCTAGCCAACGTAGTGTAGGATCATTCTGTATTTGGAATAGGATATGCTCCACCGGAGCATTGAGCGGTGTGAAGGCTTGTCGCTCTCTTAGAGGTGGGGGACCAAGATGGTCCTTGACAGAGATACTCTATGTCTTATTCCTTTTGTTCTCTACTTCCCGCTTGTCCTTATGGGTGTCCTTTCTCTTCTTACCCCCATGGAAAGACTCACCTCATTTGGCCTTGGTGACATCCTCGGCGTTCATATACTTTTGTGTGCTTGACGGCAACTTGGGCATGCTAGATGGTGGCTTCTTGAGGATGGAGAACATAAAACTGGAGGAGCGCAGACCCACAACAAATGCAACTAGGGATACTTTATCATCTGGCTCTTCAATCTAGACGGTCTCTTCATTGAAACGGGTGAGGTAGCTCTTGAGGCTTTCATCCCAGTCCTACTTGATGATGAGTGTATGTGTGACAGGCTTCTGATGTCGGCGTTCCCCAATGAAGTGGGAGACAAAAGATTTACTCAGCTCTGCAAAGAAGAGGATAGAGGAGGGTTTGATCTTTGCAAACCATTGGTGAGCAGATCCCTTAAGGGTGGTAGGGAAGGCTCTACACATAATGTCATCAGGCACGTTGTGGAGTTGCATAAGAGATTTATAGGTGTCCAAATGATTGAGGGGTCTTTGGTACCGTCAAAGATCTCGGTAACAAGCATCTTGAACTTTGAAGATAAGGAATAATTGACTATATCCGCAACAAAAGGTGTATCATTACCAGGTAATCCACCATCTTGGGTGCCTATGCCTTGATGGCGTTGAGGGCATCACCGAGTTGACTTTGCACTTCTCTAATCTTCTCATCCCATCGATTGGTGTCATCTTCCATTGGATGGTCGTACTGGCTCTCTTTTTCGTCCTCATGTGCAAGTACATGAGGGAGGAGGGACTGTTGGGAGAGGAGCGCCCGGGCGTGGCCCTGGGGCATTCTGGCGAGGGACCCCATGATGGGGTGCTGCCTGATGCCCAGAAGGGATGGGTTGATGTTCCTCTCCTATTGGAGGGAGTGAGGCTCCTCCTACGGGGTGAGGGGCGACGCCTCTATGGGCAAGTATCAAGTGAATGACCTGCTGATTTGGTTTGCAAGTAGTTGCATGGTTTGTAAGAGTTGTTGCCCGATAACTTGGGTCGCCATAGTAGATGATTCCAAGGGTGCAAGGGGAGGTGGGGCCTCCTCCTGGTGGGCCGGGTTGTTGTCTCCCGGTTGCTAACTCATGGATCTAGTCGTGATTACCATGAATTAAAGAAGAGTAGAAAACTTCGTCGTTTCCCACAGACTGCGCCAAATTGATGTGGCACAACTTGGTATTGTGCAAGATCAACAGTCGAGTATATGAACAAGTGTAATTAATGAGCAATAAATAAGATGATTAATGGCAAAATAGTAAATATAAGCAAACACAAAGATATATAGTAGTTCGGTCTGGGTAACTTACTCCACTTTCGAAAAATGGCAGCGGTGGTTAGAGTTCTTTGTTGATGAATAAAGTAATCGGGAGAGTATACTCCAAGGGAGTTACAATGCTTTAGAAGAGAGAAACTTGGTGTGTAAAGAGATATAGAGTCGTGTGAGAGATGTAGAGGTGTCTTGAGATCTCAAGGTGATGCCCCTCCATGTGGAGAGGGCTTATATTATATAGGTTTGGTGAGGCGGTGACGTGAGGGAGATGATACTACTATTTTGCTAAGTACAATTAAGATAAGATTGGATTTCCTTGAGTGCGTATCCTGACAATTTCTCCCACGTGCTCCTATCTTTTCGGGGGGCTCCTTGGATTCTGAACTCAGTCGGACTGGCAAAGTGGGCCTGGGCCGCCCTCCAACTGACTTGGGGCCTCTTGATTTATTGGGCCTGACCCAGTTGATTTTGGGCTCATCATGAATAATATCTGAAATAAATGTTATATTGAGCCATAAATTAATCAAAAATGAATTAATTTAACTTGTGATAGAAATGGACAAAAAATATATGAGGATATATTTTCAAACTACTAACTATCTTTTTAGATAAATTATAATAATGTATCATTTATCAAAATAATAGTTTATCAGATTATGTAACGAAAAAATCGTTTGATGATCTTTTGTGGAGAATGTTATCGTACCGCAAAAAAATCAGTATCGAACCACCATATATAACTTTTTAAAAAATTTTGTAAAATTTTCTAGGATTTTAAAAACTTTTTGGAGTTTTGCAATAGATCCTAGTATTTTAGGATCATAAAATTATTAAAATCAATCACAAATCCCAAAAATTATAATTACAATCCTAAAAAAATGTGAACGAAATTATGGAGGTTGACTCACCATATGTAGATATTTCGATCCATTGAAGATAAAAATGAATTGTAAATTTAAATATTTTGAGTTTAAAATTTGATAATTTTTTTGGGGTTAAAATCATGAGTTTATTGTTTGTAAATTTTTTAGTCCTG